TGGGGGGGGGGGGTGTTAGCTAACGTTCGAATACCCACGAAGTCCCCGATTACTCAGTAAACTCGTACCTTTTCTGATTCGACAAGTCGCCGACTCCGCACTGGAGATTGTGGGTGATTCGGAAGGGCAGGAGGATGTCTGAGCACTCACGGATCCGCGCCCGCATCCAGCACGCAGCATGGCGGAAGAGAGCAAAGGCCCGCGGCGCATGCAGTACTCGTCCTGCGATGATTGCCGTCGCGCGCGTGTCGCTTGTGATGCGGGTCGCGTGGAGCGTGTGTCCGAGCAAGGCTCAAAGCTTTGCACGCGGTGCGTGACCCGTGGACGGCCTTGCACTTTTAATGTACGTCATTTTCTTCTTCTTGGTTCATCTTCTGTCCCCTGACAGTGGTGTGTGGTATGATGGGAGGGACTGATGGCTGCTGCAGTGGATGCGAGAGGCGAGGTTTAACGCCTCCAGCAGATCCGCCAATAAAGCCCAACGACGGCACTCATATCGCAGTGAGAATGGGTCTGTTGCTGCATCGGACTCTACTACAACTCCTTTACCGACAGGTCCCAGCATATCAAATGGGTAAGCTTGTCGATATGCTCACACGTACCTCTACTAACACTGGCAGGTCCAGCCAATGGAAGACTGAAAATGGCGACTCAGCACTCCGAAGCATCGATGATATATTAGATTCTGTCATGAGCCGACATCTTCAAATCATGTACTCGGAAACATGGTACGCAGTCAGCCGTCAAGCACAGATGAGAGACGAATACTATGCCAGCAATGCTGACTCCTCGTAGGGAGGTGATCTTCGGCAACTTCTTGTCAAGATTCAGCTGTCCCTTCACGTGAGCATCTCACTGACATCCTCATTTCTACTCTTCATCTGAGACCTGTGATATCAGATTCGGAGACGAAAGTGTATCAGAGCGCATGTTGAGCATCAGAACGCTATGCACGCAGCTAGACCGATGGATGGCCGATTCCACAGCAACCACAAGCCCGCGAACCTACACGGAACAATTCGATTTGAACGCCGTGGATGGAGACGACTATCAGATTGATAAATCGCTCGATTTGGTCGTTTGTGCGTATGCAGCTCGATGGCTGCCTTTGATCGCACCGAATGCAGACCCGGACGAGAATCAGCAGATCACCGTACGTCTTTGGCGTGAGACTCGACGAGACATGCTCAGAGTGATTAATCGCCCTTCCTATCGGTCCATGCTGACATTGTATCTCTTTGGGCTCACACCCATACCTGAGGGTATCTCGGACGCAGAGGAGCATGATGGTCTGTCTGGACATGTCTGTGTGCAAGCAGCCTTGCAACAAGTTTACATGCTTCGCGTAAGACAGAAGAGCTTGCAGTTCAATGGTTCCAAGATGTCTCCGACAGTGACAAAGAGCATATCTCTCGGCACGGATCCTCTGGCGACAAATAGCTTTCTCGTCGCTGAAAGTCTTGCGCATTGGGCAGCTTTGACATTCGACACGTCGCAGTCATTCACGCTGAGTGCTCGGCCGATTCTTTCTTCTGGCCTTTTTGGCTATGAGGACGACTGGTGTTGGGGCCTCGTCCGGTCCTGTACAGAGATGTTTCAAAATACGCGAAAGGAGTGGTACGCCGCCGGCATGGAGATCACGGAATCCAAGGCGAATCAACTAGTCGCTAGTGGTTCGGCTTTCAAGCTGCTAATGTTCAAACTGGCCGCAGTCTTCCGAGAGGCACTTCGTGACGGGCATGATGAATCGGTACTGGCGAAGGTCTATAACGCCGTCATCGAAGGGGTGGCGCAGTTCAACCGAGTCTACAGAGACTTGCTCGAGGCTTGCCAAAAACGCATACATTTCTTGTCGCAGGACACAAAATTCCGCTGGTGTAAGTAGAGCTGATGTACGCGGGGAGCTTTGCTAATTCCAGACAGATGTCTTGATGATACACTATCATCTGAGCATCCTACTAGTCGTAGATGCCATTGAAGGAACGAATCGGCACGATCTGCTACCACGACTGTTGACGGCCAAGACCGATGCGGAGAATGCCATGATCAACACGCTGGCCTTCGGCCTCGAAACAAACTACAGCATCAGCCTGCAGACAGGCACAGAACCACGACCTACACCTGGCGCGGAGCGTATCACAGTCCCACTGCAGGCTGTTGAAGCATATCCTCACCACATGGTAGCAGCAGTGCAGCTCATGTTTCGAGCCATACGGCGAGATCTTCGAGCAGAGAAAATCGGAACGGACACTTATGTGAATCTGGCTTCGATTTTGCAAAGAGTGCTGAAGTTGTTGCCCGACAGCTCGAAGTCAGTGCAAGCTGCAAGGAAGTTGGCGGAGACGTACAATATGGATGCTACATGACGAGAATCGTACGAAGATTGGTTGGGGACCACGACAGCTGACGGCATGTTGTGTGACCTCTGCTCCAAATTTGGTGCAGGTTCATGCCTCACACGAACACCACAGAGCGCAACACGTCCCTCATCTACCACATCCTGATCGATGGAGGTGCAGGGCACGCGCCCCAACATTGGTGCATTACGTGTTCTTGCATTTCAGAGCGATTGTCAGTGAGCACACCTTCCTCTACGGCAAACGATTGCCTATGCAGATTGGCCTGGCACGCAGTGCTGCAGATGTCTGTCCGAGACACGACTATTCTGCTCGTTGGAAATCACTGGGAAGCGCCATACTCTGATGCAGAGAGTTGCATAACCTCGATGATGGACCACGAAGGTACTGTAGCGCGCTCAAGTTGCGGACAGCAAATTGGAAACTCGCAAGAATGGCACTCGTTTCTCCCTCGCCGCGACCTTGACTATGCGACTATGCCGCTCTGCCAGACAGGGTGCCTGAGCATAAAGTGTAAATGCAGAGATACGAGGAGTGGGAAAGTGCTCGTCCAGCCCATGGGCACAGTAACCCGTGTCTTATCGCGGTTTCCATTTTGGTTTCCGGCGGGAGCACGCTGTCTGAGCTACGTCAAGTACTTTGTGCCCTCATCTTGGGCTCTCACAACGACCAGAGCGCGCAGTGCGACCAGCATTCACGATGTCTTGATCATTGGAAGCGCATGAAATCAATGTGCACGTATGACAAACACGACACAAACAGGATTGCCTTGAACACAGCATAAAACAGCACGAATGAACCACTTACCAGTAACCACCTCAAGAACTCCAACAGCCGCTTCAATACTCAAATCTTGACACCCCGAGGACAGCAGCATGTCTCCATCAAAGCCAGCCAGAGCAGGCACAATCAAGCAGAAGCTCCGCGAAGCTCTCGCAAAACTACGCAAAACCCCCGTCGTCACCCCAGAACAGAAACTGCACCTCAAACTCGACACTCTCAAATCCCAAGCTACAAACCTCAACACCCAAGCCTCCCACCTCTTCACTCAATGCAACACCTTCACCTCCCGCGCGACCTCCACCCCTCTCCCCAATTCCCCACCACCCGACCGCGAACCCCTCTTCGAACGCCATCCTACCTCCGGCCCACCAAGTTCCTACGATGCACAAGTCCGTGCGTACGAGACGTTGACGACCGAGTGGAAAGAGTTTTTAGACAAGGATGTGAAAAGTTGGGAGAAGGAATTAGAGCAGTTTGAGAAAGTTCTGGGCAATTTGAGAGAGAAGCATTTTGATTCGGAGAGAAAGGTGGGGGAGATGGAACATGAGTTTATCGGGTTGGGGAATGCGGTGCATAGTTTGAAGTTGCAGAGGACGGAGATTCGGAGGGCGGTCGAGGGCGTTGGGTTGCCAAAAGACGGCGGTGGTGTGGATGGGGAGTAGGTGGTGCAGGTTGAGATGGAGCTGGGGAGCTGGTGGCTGTGCTCACGAGAATAGGACTAGTCAAGTGTATTGATCCGCTACTGGACGGTGATGAATGATCATGGATTGCTTTGTGAATGCGGTGCTTTGGATTTCTCATCGCACTATAGTGGCATTCTTGTTTTCGTATTGCTTTGTTCAACAGGCTAGTGCATTGAATGAAGCACGCACTGCTTCGAAACGAGCTCAACTTGCAGAAATAGCTCGATACGCGCATACACGCACCGTTGGCCGCAACATATCGTGCATGTCAAGCCACGTTCTGCCACATGACGAATCTTGAAGGGCGTCTCGTCCCAACGCGCATACTTGGTCAGCGATATAGCCCCAAGCACAGCAAGCGAGGTCGTCAACGAAACAGTAAGTGACTGCTTAGTGGTGACCAAGCTCGAAGTTTCAGGACCCTGCTCCGGCACCGAATCCCATCCAAGGTTTTCAACTTACCATACACGCAGAAGCTTCATTGTCGTATCTGCAGACAGCAGAGTCATGCCTTCATGGAGGCAAGTCGGACCGAGTGACAAAGTTCCTTGATAGTCTCTTTCCCACGTGCCATGTTCAGAGTCATGTTCCTTGTTCAATTGTCGGTGTCAGGTCCGCACCGACGTTTTCGTCAGCATTGATCGCATTTCGTCTCATCTATCGTGGCTTGAGATACCGCCCTTGCGCCATCTCTTGCTTCAAAGCATCCGCCTGGTCCGGTAGGGGCGCTCGTCTTCTAATACCAGAGCCACTGCCGGCACCGCCACTTGCGTTTGGAGGTGAGCCAGATGGCACCGGCATGCCTGGGAAGCCGTTCGCTGGAGGCGGAAAGCCGGGAGGCATGCCAGGCATACCCGTAGGAGGCGCAAACCCCGGCGGCATCTGCCCGTTAGGCGGAAGAGGTGGGAAACCAGGCGGGATCTGTCCTTGACTAAGAGCTTGCTGGAAAGCGGCCATGTCCATGCCTGGTGGTAAGCTCCCGGGCGGCGGAGGGGCAAAAGGCATGCCAGCAGTCGCGGGATCTGGCATTGGAAAGTTGGAGGGGGCGGCGCCGAGCATTCCATTATCTGGTGAAGGCATGGCGGAACCGAGTCCGGGCAAGCCGGCGAGACCTGGGAGACCAGGCAAAGCAGATCTGCTAGGCATTTTCTGATCTTCGAGGCCATCTGCTTCGTCCTGCTCTTCAGCATCTTCTTCCTCACGCATTTGGCGCTCGTTTCGCTTCCATGTTCCCTTTTCTTCGGCAGCTGTTTGGCCAATGTGCCATTTGTCATTAAGAAAGCTGCCCTCGCCGGGTCGCGGGCGCGTCCAGAAACGTGTAGCCCTGTCGTTCGAGCCAGTGGCTAGGATGTGACCCATTGGGTGCCAGTCCATACTCCATACATTGAATTCATGCGCATAAGTCACCCTATGAGATGGATACAGCGTCTGTGCGGGTGCATCCGCGGGATTTGGCGCATCGTAGGGTGATCTTGTTATCGCTGTGCCCGGCGGAGGGTTCTGCTCGTCCAGCAAATAATGAAAAACGGCACCGTCGGCAGCTCCAGTGCTGAGCATGGAAGAGTGGATTGGATGCCATACGATTGAGTTGATTTCCTTTTCGTTGCCCTTAAGCAGAAAGACATCCCGCATCATGTGGATGTCGAATATTCTCACTGTCTGGTCACGAGCACAGGACGCAAGCAATGCGCCTCTGCTGGGCTCGAACTTCGTCATGTTCACCGTGTTCTTGTGACCATGGAGTGTGGTCAAGCACCGACCAGAGCGCGGATCCCAGAGTTTCAAGTTATGATCCTTCGAGCCAGACACAAGTAAACCTTTGGAGGGGTGCCAGTCGACGGCCTTAACGTCCCACTGATGCCCGTCGAGCTTTGAGATCTCTTCGCCGGAGGCAAAGTCAAATATTTTCAAGCTAGCATCATCCGACGCAGTCACAAACTTCGAGTCTTGGGGCGCGAATGCCATGTCTCGTACCGGCATGTCGTGCGCCTGGATCTCCTTGACATTGTTGAAATTCGGCTGCCAGTATTTGATCAGTCCTTCTTGGTCCGCGGAGATCAGCCAGTCGTCGTTATGCGAATAGACGATAGATCGAACAGCAGCTTCATGTGCTTGCATGATAGTCTCGAAATTGAAGCCAGTTCCGTTCCAAAGTGTAAATTCGCCGCTGGTAGCGCCCGTAAGTAGTCTTCGGCCGTCTGGGGTCCATTTCACCACGTTCACAGGATGTCGATGTTTGTTGAAGGATGTGTGTAGGTGCTTCGCGGGCAGCGAGTCTGCGGCTTTCCCTTTCCGCGCTGCTGGAGGCACCATGGAAGCCGCATAACTCAGCGTGGGTCGCTCTGCTTCAAAGCCTCTGATGCTGCTGGCCTTCGAACGTCTGTCGTGCATAAAATGTACGTATGTGTTGCCAATGTCAGTGGCGTTTCCTGCAGCATCCAATCAGTAATTGACGGGGCATTTTACATCCAGCATGGGCAGCAGTGCTTCAAACATAAGTAGCACCACTGGAGGAAGAGAGCTGCGCTCGACATTGCATCGCCATGGATGAGCTTGTGAAAAGGGCCACTCACGTCTGTTTGGTCGACCTCGCGGTCGCGGCTGGTCGAAGCCGCCATGTTCTGCTTCGCGATCCATGGCGGCGGGGTGAGAGAAGCTGATCGGATCTTCACCAGTCGAGTCCAGAAGCCGTGGATGGTGGCCGGACTGGCGCGTCTCGCGAACCCGATTGCGAACAGCTGGAAGGTCCTAAACAGCTGGGTTATTTGTGGCCGCCGGGCTGTCGCGATATCGATGCTTTCAAGCGACCATTCGGATGATGACGATTCGGTGAGGCGCAAGCAAATGTGTTTCTATTGCAGACTCCCATGTCGTCGCTGCAGACGTGATCGGGAGGAAGGGCCGAGCCGGCGCCGAAGTCGCGCTAAAGCGCGAAGTACTCGCGCCTTCTCTCAGTTCACATGCCAGGCCAGGCATCACAACATGAATCATCAACTTGCTGAGATACACATAAGACAGCATAGCAGACCAAGAGCGACTGCCAGCACGAAATTCGCTACGGAGGATTGGCACAATGCCCTTCTTTCCAGTTTACCAGAGCCGTCGTCTGTCGCGACCCATCCGACCGAAAGCCGAATACACCGTTGCTCTGAGTTGAGAACAGCAACAATATCTGCCTCCTGAGCGATCCCGTCAAATAACTACTTGAGGAAGCTACCGTTCGTCTTGGCTAGGATTTCGTCATAATATGGCTGGAACCTATGGCACTATCAGCAAATGGAGCAAGATCATCTTTCGAGGATCGACTTACGCAAGCCAGCCTTTCTCGGGAGTTCCGACTTGAGCATAACTGAATTGTGCTTCTTCGTCATCAATGAAGGTCTTCTTGTGGCCACTTCCTTGTGCTGCAGCATCGACCAGGAGCTGAGCGTGGCACGTCTTGTCTAGAGACAAAAACCAGAAAGCCGCAGCGTCCACTGTTTGTCCGACCTGCAAAATCGGTGAGTACCAGGGATCACTATTCAAGCAGTACGACCCACGGTGAGCAAACCATGGTTCTGGAGAATGATGGCTTTCCCATCGCCCAGGTGTGAGGCAATCCTTTTGCCTTCCTCCCGGTCCAGCACCACGCCTCCAAATTGCGGATAAACTGCATGGTTCTTGTAGAATCGCAGGCTGTCTTGCGTTATCATGTCAAGCTCTCGACCGAATACTGAGAAGGCTTTCCCATATACGGAATGCGCATGACAGGCGGCATCGACATCCGGTCTGGCTTTATGGATCTCGGAATGGATGGCGAATGCTGCAGCATTAATAGGCTCATCGCCGACGACTACCTCCCCATCCTCATTCACTAGAATGAGATCTGAGACACAGATCTGCGAGAAATGTGCAGAAAGTGGATTCAACCCTTGCTCACTGTCAGTACTTGGAGCGAATGTGGCATCGGGCAAATGTACAGAAATGGTCCTTGAGGATTGGGTCGCGAACACTGATATGTCCAGCCACACCCTCGTCAAAGCCTCTGTCCGCGAAGATCCTATATGCGGCTGCCAGATGCTGCTGCCGATACAACCGTTCCTCTTCGAGCGAGTCGAATTTGGGGTAAGATCTTATCTTGAGAGGCTTCCCGCTTTTGGTTTTGCCAAGCGCTCCGACTGTGGCATTGCCATTTGTTTCAGTACTCAATGTGGTTGCTGAGGGCGACATGATTTCTGGCGTGACAAGCTAAATTTACTTAGGAATAGAGGGCCACAAAATTTAGGATGTTGGCGCAGAGGTCGAAGTTGCCACTCCGGCAATCGACAGCTCATGCCCCGCATTGCAACATCGCCGGAGTCTGATGTCCCGAGTGCTCACAGAAACGATGTTGGGACTTTACAAGTGCAGTATACTTGGCGCTATGGCGCAGCATTCGACACAACCTTGTTATCCTTTGCTCCGGATGGTTCGACTTTTGCGACGAGCACAGGGCTTCGCTCGTGGAAAGGCCCGCTATGTTGAAGCTGGTGACTGCCATTCCGCAAGCATGCGCGTTCGTTCGAGAAAGGCTGAACATATCAGCGATCTCAGCGCGTCATTGGCCTACGCGAAGAACAAGCAACCGAAGGACCTCGTGATGGGCTTGTGCTTGCTCTCGCCCAGGCATCCGCGCGTATGGTTCTCCTGTGGATCGTGGACCCTTCGAGTTGCAATGGGCCTTGAGGCCCTAACGGCGGTTTGCTAAGTAAGCGGAACGATCGGCGAGCATTCGTAGTGTGCAAGACAAGGGATTGCTGGACGGCTTGGATCGTTCAGGAAGGTGGATTCTACTTGGCCTGAGAATTTACGGTATGTCTCGGGAGGTGAACTTAAAGGCTGCGATGGCTTTAAAGAGAGCCATGGATCTGGTTTTCTCCTTGTCCCTGCCTCGTGGTAAGCCATGCCGCGCGCAATAGCCGTGGTATCCATGAATTTGTGATACACATCGTGCCACGTCGGTATAGTCTCAGGCACCGCAGGTGGAAGCATTTGTCGAGATCGCGGCCGCGAACGACTCTGCAAGACTGTGGCACTCGAGTCACTGGGTACCGAAACATGCGCAATTGGCGACACGAGCTGATCGACACTGTCAACCCACGCGGATGCCATCGATGGCACGACTCGCTGTGCCAGACGAGTGCATCGGGGCCTGGTCCAGCCAATACGGCTCGAGTGACTTCAACACACTGCCCTTGGGATTGGAAATCTACATAGCACCATGAGGAAAAATCCCTCGAAGCTCTCTAGCATTCGTTAGTGCTTCCCTCAGCCTTCTCGAACTATGCTAGCAGAGATCTTCTGCATCTTCGTGCACTGGCAAGGCTGTGTCGAGATGGAAGAACCCGCGTCTGTACAAGCTTAAGCTCGGTATCCCAGAGCTCGTTCCTGCAACCAGTATCACACAGCTACCACGTGCACCGCTGGAAGGAACTTTCCCATCGTTTTGGATTGAGTTCAGGAAGCCTGACGACGCTTGCGCAGGAAGATTGCATGATCCACTCCCGTATTTGAATACTGTACACCGGCGATAGGACGTTCTGGTCTGCAAAGTCGGCAAGACTTGATGGTTCAATACTGGTACGGAAACGTTGGGCTCGTGCCTTTCCAGCTGCGGCCTTTTTTATGCAACTTAATCACACCTGGACCTTGAGACGAGGACTGTGCGAGAAGGGCGGCAACCTGTTCCTGTGCTCGTGGGAAGGTAAATTGTGTTGAGCCTCCTTCATGACAAGCTCTCATCTCGACGGCACCCTAAATTGTTCATACGCAATCATTATACCGTGATGTGGCCAAGCTCCGTCCTGCGCATGCCCTAATGTCGCAAGACCACTATCTGAATCATCAAAAGACGGAAATGGGTGCTCGCTCGCTGCCAAGCTGTCTCCGCGGAGCTCGGCGGCGTCTCAGCTCATCTGAGAAGGGCCGCAAACACCTATAGAGGCTAGGGAGAAGTCATGGACAATGCTCATGCCACCGGCGAACTGCTTCTTGTGATGATGGCATGAGGCGCATAATGGTGTGCAAACAGCTCTACACCGCTGAAATCTGTGCCTACATCTGTTCAGACCTCTGGATGCACGCCATGACAACGATGAGATGCACAAAGACGATGGCAAGTGAAACGCATGCGTCGGTGGCCCGTGTTAAAATACGCCCGAGGCGGAACAAAGTTTCGTTTTGAGATCGCTCAGACCCGAACCAGACATGCGGATCCAAAAGGGGACGAGATGGCGCTACTGGCGCCCGGCTGCCTGCATTGACCGCCGGCGCCGGCTCGGAGGCGTACCGTTGAGAGCTTGTGAGAAATGCACAATGCACGTCTTTCACGCAAGTCGATCCACCGGCAGCTTACACTTTTGCCGCCGGCTGGCGGCGTGATAGAGCTTGTCATAGCTCAAACTGCATGATGCACATGTGCAAGACAGCCATGGTTGCAGTCGAGTGTCTTGCTCACTCAAACGCGTGTTCACCACGCGTCAGTGCATGCTATTTCCATGCTGGCAGGTGAGCTTGACATTTCTGGAATTTTCATTGCATCTGAGTTAGCATGAACTGCTGGATATTTGCATGCTATACCAACTGGAGGACTAGATGGCAGGACGTCCACGTAACAACCAGCCGGTAGTGCCGACGCCGCATGGCTGCAGTGCACCTCGTAAAGCATTTTGGCTTTAGCCCTTGATGCCGTGCAGAGGCGGCTACAACGTTAACACGAATATGCTTCAGCCATAGGTGAGAGACTCGATCGGGAATAGAGCCGATCGCTGTCATCTGTTGCGTCGTGCTCGTGTACTACTGCGCGGCATGCTGTGCAGCTAAGTAGGTGGTCGCTCCCTTTTGTGATGACCAGTCTTCCCGCTGAAACTTGACACAGATATTTTGTATCATTCTCATATTTGCCCTCTTTCACATCGTAGCGAGTCGTTCGGACTCGTGCAGCCTCTTCACGATGGGCCTCTTCTCTCGAAAGGGCAAGTCGAGCAAGGACTCCTCTGCAGCAGAGGAGCTCAAGAAGTCTGCTGTTCAGACCAAAGTTACGAAAAAGTTCGTTCCTAGGCACGGGTCTGCCAAAGTCACCGATCACAACGCTCCCGAAGAAGATGCTTCGGATGGCTATCAAACAAGCGTTATCGAAAGCCGGAGAATCGAGATCCCAAGACATGACGGCACATTCCAGCGTGCAGCATACGCTCGTGGTTCGATGACAGCTCCTGCATCGCCTAGCGGTCAGCGTTTTCGACAGGACAGTGCCTACGATGAAGATGGCCACGGCCATCCCGCGGATTCAATTCCAATGCCACCGGCTTTCAAGGAGAGACCAAGCGTATACAGACCCAAGTACCAACAGCGCAGCAGTTCCGACCACTTTGCGGCCGCTCCTGCTCCCAGGAAGCACAGCACGCCAGGAGGCTATTACACGCCTCAAGCCTCTTCAGACTCTGGTTACGAGTCCGCCGAGCCCATTTCTGCTGCACACTCTCGTGTTCCAAGCGAGCTTAACTTGCTGGACTATTCTCCAAGCTATCTGCAGCTCACTCAAACCATGCCCGAACTCAAACTGTATACCGATGAACAATCTCGCGGACGAGAGAGTTCTCCCAAGCACAAGAGCGTCGGCAACGTTTCGCCTTTGGACTTGAACTCGGACGCTCGATCGATCAGATCGAACAAGTCTGTTAGCAAGCGTACAAGGTTCGAAGACGATGCAGAGCCAATGCCTTCGCTGCAAGCATTGGAGCAGTACAAAACAAGCGACGAACTGACATCGAGGCCTGCCTCACTATGGTTATCAAACCAGGACGCCGAATCTGCCACACGTGAGCAACATCAAGCAGAAACCCGTTCCCATTCTGAACAGCCCCACCCACGAATGCGACAATCGTCTCAGTCCAGCACTGCACACACGAGTCCTGTGGATCCACGCCAAATTCGAGTTGGAAGCTTACCTCCGCTGTCAGTACTGGAAGGCTTCAAGGTCAACAAGAAAGGCAAGATACTTGACGAGGAGGGCGATGCTATAGGAGAGCTCGTGGAAGGTGACCTTCTGGACTGCGTTCGCCAGAAGGCCAACGCCAATGGCGAAGTCATTGATGAGTATGGCCGTGTCGTTGGCCGCGTGCGAACATGCGCTCCAGCTCACGCGCCTGCAAATATCAGCACACATCAGCACATTGTGGTCACATCACCGGCTCCGGCTACCCAAGACTCACCGGCGGTGGTCGAACGCGACGTTGCATCAACGTTGGAGTCTCAGCCAGCAGCGCCGTTGCCGTCGTACGCAGCCGACCCAGCGCCACATGTCAAGGACGACCAGCCTCATGCGGAGGAGGCGGCGGCGCACGACACGCCACCAGTCAAGCCAGCCGAAGAAATCGCTGAGGAGCCCATAATTGCAGAGCAGAAGACTCTTTCCCATCACATGATGCAAGCAGCAGTGCCTACACAAGAGTCAAAGCGCATGCCCCGATCCGCAAGCGAGAAGAGCCTGTCCGAGCTCACTAAGGCCTATGTGCGCCCAGCAATGAGCTCTGTACCGGAGAACAACGTCCCAGAAGACGAATCCATCCCAGCGAGCCCGGGCTTGTTCGCATACAGAGGCGAGATCCCGAAGACAGACGGCGCACCAAGTGTACGAAGGAGGTCGAACTCGCCGCCCCAGATATCAGCTCTGATAATGCCGACCCCAATTACACCTGGTCAGCTGCCCAATCCCGCACATTACGCCAAACTGGCGCTTGTTGGAGGCTTCTCGAACAGCACTTTACATCCTCCCATGCGTCCCACGGGCGCAAATTCGCGACGTACAACGACACACTTTGGCGGCAGCGTCGCTAACGGGTCTCGACCCCCACTACCATCCGCACTGAAGAAGACTCAATCCCACACATATGGTAAGTTCCCCACATCTAGAACAATGTTCCTGGCACTAACATGTCCTACAGGCTTCGAAATAGGCCCGAGCGGAAGCGAGTCTTCATCAGACGACGGCCGTATGCTCAGCATGCCTCATTCACGCGCAGCATCGGTCATTACCAACACGACTGTATCCTCCAAACCACGTACATATTTTACACATGGCGGCAAGGTCACAGTCGAAGTGGCCACCAAAGCCGCCGAGACCGCGGCTCCCAAGCCAGTCGCGCCACCAGTCCCAGTCGAGGACAAGAAGAAAAGCCGTATGAGCATGAGTTTCCGCAGAAAGAGCAAGGCTGCGGCTTGAGATCTTGACGATCAGACATATTTCCTTTTGTGAGCTTGATAGCGTTTTGAGCGACTGGCACCACCATTGCAGACATGGTGAGTCTTGCAGGCAAAGACACTGAATTTTCTTGAGAGCATTTCGTCGGCGCAACAAAGCCCTGTCTTGATAGTAGCAGTACAAACACAATTAGCTGTACAAACATATTACCGACCATGTGTGCCCATCCTCTCTGTCTCCAAGTACACATGGCAGTCAGATGCAGTCTCGTGCGAGCCACGCCAAAAGCAGGCATCCCACGAGCTCGTGCCAGCTCATCCTTGCGCGTCTTGGCAGTCAACCTCGGTCGCGGTCGCGGTCAGAAACTTTCAAGCCCTGTGCACAGTGAACCACACCATGATCGATCTTCACATCTCTTGTTTGCGGCTTGCTTCTTCACGGCAAGCACAAGCCTCACCAGCCTCCAATATATGCCCTGCAGCTATCATCACAGAATCAGTGCTCAAAGATCTAACCAAAACAACTCCTCTGCGTATTCCCAAAGAAGCTGTAGACGACTTTCGACCATTCGGCAGCGACAAGCCGATCGCCTTCTGGGCCGCATCTAGTCCCTTCTGGGGGCGAAAGTGGGTGCAGTAGCTTGCGCCCACGTGCGTGGGAGCACGAGATTGGGTGAGAAAGCCAGAGACGAGGGAAAAAAGAAAACCAGCCTATCTTCTTGTGTTCTCATCTTTCCTTCTTCTTCCCCTCTCACTACACCACTTCCAGTGATAGCCTTTCTCACCTCGTGAACGACTTCGGGCTTTGCGTTCACGCCACTTTCCCAAAAAGCTCCAGCAAGCGACAGCCCGCGATACTGTTGCGCTGCGCGCACGCCTTCCCGATTGCTTGCAGCCGCCACTTTTGAACGCTTTGCAGCGCACGGCAGAGCTGACTCGAGCTTGGAACTTGAGCCGCGTGCTTTCTTATCGTCGTCACTATGTTGAAGCAGGAAGTTACCGATGCTGTAGCGCAGCAGAATGCATCCGGCCGTGCAGAGATCGAAAGCGGATCCGTGGAAAGAGTGACAGTCGAGCCGAAGGGATCAAACAGCTCTCCGGATTCGCCGACGGATTTCAAGACTCCCTCTGGACATGGCCCGATTCATCTGGTTGGTGCAGATCCTTCGGAGCAGCGTCCGGTGCAAACGACTGTTGCAGAGCTTGAGAGACGTGAAGGAGGTCGATTTGCGTACTTGAAGAAGCCGCAATTTTACTTCATCCTGCTTTTGTCACAGGCTCTGGCTGTGACGATTACCGGAACGAACACAATTACTTCTCTGCTGCGCGAAGAGAACTGGGCTATTCCGGCTTTTCAGAGCTTGTTCAACTATATCTTGTTGAACCTCATCTATACCAGCATCACGATCTACAAATATGGCTTCAAGAAATGGGGCAAGATGATCTACAAGGATGGCTGGCGATACTTCATTCTTGGATTCTGCGATGTGCAAGGCAATTACTTCACTGTACTTGCTTACAACTACACGACTATTCTTTCTGCGCAACTGATCAACTTCTGGGCGATTGCGGTCGTCCTGCTGGTTTCTATCATCTTCCTCAAGGTTCGATACCACTGGCTGCAATACGCTGGAATTTTGATCTGCTGCGGTGGACTTGGCATCCTAGTTGCATCGGATCACATTCGTGGCACGAACGGAGGGCAAGCCGTGGATGCTGTCAAGGGAGATCTCTTCGCATTGGTCGGCGCTACATTCTATGGACTGACCAATGTTGCTGAGGAGTTCCTGGTCTCCAAGCGACCAATGTACGAAGTCATTGGTCAACTCGCATTCTGGGCTATGCCCATCAATGGTGTCCAAGCCGCCATTTTCGACCGCGCATCTTTCCGTGCTGCACAGTGGAGTGGCCAAGTCGGCGCATATCTTGTTGGATACACCCTACTTTTGACATGGTTCTACTCCGCGGTCCCTCTTCTGCTCCGCATGGCATCTGCAGCGTTCTTGAACATTGGTCTGTTGACCGGCAACTTCTGGGGCGTTATTGTTGGAATCAAGATCTTCAATCTTTCGATCCACTGGATGTATCCTATCGCATTTGTCCTGATTATGGTTGGGCATTTCATCTACTATGGCACTGAAGGAGTTTTGGGTGAGGCGAAGAAGCCTTGGCTTGGCGAGAACCAGGAAGGTGGTGATGATGGTATCGGAAGTGCTCGCAGGAGATTGGAGAACCCGAATGCGTTCTTCTAGATGACTGATGATAGCATCCTGATAGGCGGTAGGCTCATACAGCACTAGCATAACGGCCGTCTTCGTCAAATGAACAGATTGTGCGAGACCGAGTTCATACTGCGTTTCGTGCTGGTTTCTGCGTGTCTCGCATCGACCCTCTTCGGCGTGATTCACGTGAAGTGTTGAGGTCTCATTTCCATTGAATTCCATCCTGAGGGAAGCGAGATCCACACGGCCCGAGATGCTTCTTAGATTAAAAGCCGTTGTGACCAGATCCTGCACGGCCGTGCCCAAGAGGCCGCGTTATCTCAAGCACTTGGCACTTCAGAAGTGGCCTAACCAGATGGTATTGCCCGGTGGCCTGTGTGCTATTGCCTCACATTCCGCCTTGTATGGCGAAAGAAGCCAGAATGAGGACCAGAGAATTCGTGATGCCCCATGCGAAAGGAATCCACGTCGACATGCGGAAGAAACCAGCAGTATAGCAGCCAGCGAGTCTACAAACCAGTCAGCAAATGATCCACACTAGAATTTGTCAGGGGGGTCACTCACAGAATGCCTGTAACACAACCAGCAATCACAGCCTCTGTCGCTCCAATCACGGCATAGACTAGCGGCACGATCCAGATCACTTTCCAGTTCCGCCACTGCATAGCACAAGCGTAGGCTGCCGCTATCAAGTGTACGCCGCCCACGCAAATTAGTGTCCAGTAGAGTGTGAAGCGCCACATGGATTCCACGTCGTAGAGGTAGACATTTTGAGGGCCGCTTACGGGGAAGGGCCAGTAGAGGGATGGGAAGGCGGGAGGTTCGTAGGAGAGGGGTTTTTGGTAGACTTCTTGTTTGAGAAATCGGTTACTGGGGGCGGTGTTAGTTTCGATGGGGGAGAGAGGGAGTGGTAGGAGTTGAGGACTGGGCTTACGCCATGTTTTGATGTTGCTGGAGGAGTGCTGATGAGGATTGAGTGTGGTCTCATGACCCTGCTCCAATAGCTGCGTGCCGGAAAACGTGGGTGTTCATTCGAACGTCCTGATGGCACTTTTGGTAGTCAGATGAATTGCATGTTCAGATCTGATGTTGATGTCCAAAGCCACACCCCTCGAGCTCGAGCATGTGCAAGGATGCAAGGGCCAACCAAGCAGCCAATCAGCTTAGCTTCCAGGGCCTCGGCATTGACCTCACGATACCAACAACACCTCTCACTCCATCACGGTACGCGACAGAACAATCTACTTATCGAATTGTGCTTGTCTTGAGGCACGATGCCTGGCGATCGCCTACTGGGCACGCTGCTGAGGCATCTGCAGACGTATACCGACCAGCAAGATACCCCAAGGTAAATCAAATCTGAGTCGCGTTTGTTGCAACCGTCTGACAGCATATAGGCTCTTTGGAACGGCATCATCTCTTTTGACTACACTCAACAATCCACTCAATGTCACACTCTTGACAAGTCAACTCCTCTCAGCTCCAGCGATATGGGCTTATCCGGAAGGCTTGCGATCGTGCATGCGCATGATTAGCGTGTTCCATTCGGCTGCTCAAGCTCTCATCAAACACGAAAATGCCGTGAGAGACAAAGTTCCCGATGCCGAATTCTCACAGCTCCAACACGAGCGAACGCTTGCCAAAGATGACTGGATTGAGGCTGTCATCCAAGGTGCTGATGACCACTCTCCACGATGGCGACATTTGCTGGCGATTGCTGGACTGCTGCTTGGCTTTGGCAATCCTGATGATGAGAATATTTCGAATAGCATGCGACACAAGCTGGAAAGTGGGTTAGTCACTGCGGCCAATCTGGCGCTTGAGGAAACGCTGGATGACGACGAGATTGGCTGTGGTGGTATCACACTTGTGTTGAACCACTGCTTTCCTATCATGTCAAATTTTGAAAGGTCGAAACTGGACTATGATCTTCTTCTGCCAGTGCTGATGAAGACCACATTCCACTCAAGTGAGGGCTTACAATCAGCTTACTTTCTTGGAGCCCTCGATCGAGACATTCAAGTCACTGGCAATGGCAAGCTGAGGTGGCCGGAACAATCACATTCTTATCAGCGATTACAACATATGTCGTCAGGGCCGCTAGTCAAATCACTTGGACCACTATCGAGACTCATAGGACATGCCATCGAACAGGTCCGGGAGCACTGGCTTGTCACTGCCGCGTTGGACGACCTGAGCAATTTCGGCCGAACACTTATCACACAATGGCGGCAGAACAGACTGTCGAATGTCGAAAGCACAGAGCAAAGCCAATTCTTGGATGAACATACAATCACGACTACAAGCCCAGCGTTGTTCAAACTATTGCAGTCTGTTCTCTTCGCCAGTGTCATTGTCATGCGAAGTGTGCTAGGCCGCATGCTAGGGGACCCCATGCTAGCTCGCGATGAGCTGGCACCTGGCATCGCGCAACAGACACTCCATGTGCTCCGAAATATCTATTTTGTCACCACCCGCCAAGGCATGTCGACATTCTCGCAGTACAACTTCGTGTACTACACAGCGATGGACATATTAAGCCAATATCCTGGAGAAGTCGAATCCTTCTTGCGCGAGATTCAACCACCACAGATCGGAAAGGTCGCGGAACACCCCTTGGACCGGACTCTCGATCTCTTCTTCCTTAATACAGTGGAGCACTTCACACTCACCCTACCAACGCATCTCACAGCCGAAGTTGTCGTACCAGTGGTAACCTCCTACCTGGCTGCTGGCGGCAAAGGACCACTTCTGCCAGTTTTCGAAGCCGCACACAGCGTCACGTTGGCGGTATTCTCTGCGCCTCAAAATGCTCAAGCGACGATTGCGAATCTACCATTCTACGTGGACTCCCTGTTCAGAGTCTTCCCTTCGAATCTTTCGGCTCGCCAATTCCGATTGGCATTCAAGTCGCTGCTCAAGCTTACATCGCCGCCTTCATCGCTGGCAGTGGAGCAACCAATGATGCCGGCTGTGCTTCTCGATTTGCTACATGAGCGAGCCTTGAATGCACAGACTTCACCGATACCCATTCGCTCAGACTCACCAGAAGCAGCTGTCGAGTCACCAGTGGCTGTGTCTGAACAGGCCGTTCACACATTGACCGTCATCGACGGTCTCACGCAAATTCCACTGGATTTACTTGACGAATGGCTACCCATTACCGCGGACATGATTCACGATATACAAGACATGAAAATGCGAGAGCATTGCAAAAATCACTTCTGGCATATACTCGTCTCTAGTGGAGAGCTTGACCCGGAACGAAGTCGCGTATGTCATGCTTGGTGGAGCACGAGCGGCGGCAAAGAGTGGGTGTTGTACGGGAGAGATGAGGCAGCAATAATGAGTGGTGGTCTGGACGATGGATCGGTAGTGAGTAAGCTGTAAGAATAGGAGTGCATTGATGACATCGGTTTTGTCGATCAGAACTTCAGAGCATCATAGGAGAATGTCATCATTACCATTAATGACAGTTACGAAAGGACATAAAAGGAACTCTGTGCGCAGACTCGACGCCGCCCATATGGTACCGCCGACCAGCGCTACTGCATGTCTCAGCTGAGTAGCACAATGGTAGCTTTTGAAGTGGCTGCCGCAAAGGGGATTTGAGAAACCAAGCATGTGGCATCACCGTTGTCTCGGTTCTTGACTCGCTTGCTAGTGTTGGCTTGCTCGAACCATGGTCAGTGTCATGCAAGATCTCCTTTCTCCGACCCAGAGAAGAAGGTGAGATCTTGACCTTGTGTCGCTGTCGTGGCGGCGTGTGGCTTGTGGCTGAGCAGAGCTGGCACAGTATAGAGTTTCACATTGAACCCCGCGGGCTGGTGTTCTCGACCTGCAAGGACCTTTGCTATTCCTCTCGTTCCTCTTTCACTGCAGGCAGAACACGTGGGTGAAGAGATATGCAGATGCTGTGCAGCTCTTCCCTGTTTTCCGTATTTTGCTTGTAATCTGGCTAGTTTCGCAGTTTGATGAGCAGAAGCTCGTACAGCACGCGCGCATAGACAAACATTTTGGCAAGGTGACGTACGCGTACAACACGACACGACATGGTCGTGAACAAGGAACTGCCCACTCGTCTCCTCTCCACTTTGTTTGCGTTGCGGCAAGACCGGTGAACGTGCGGCGGAAGCTTCACTTCGTACTAACTTTCTTGTCTTTCCATCTTCCTTGCATTTCGCGCGACTGAACGCGGAAGCCATTGAGCTTGGTCCGCTGAGCATTGGAAACAGGGCAGCTAGCCATTGACCACGTTCGAATTCCAGCAACGATTCAGTCAACATGTTCAAGACGGTGCAGCGCACTGCGCACAAGGTCGGCAGCAAGAGGTCGGCGGATCAGCAAGATGTTGGATCAGTGATTGCGGAATTCAAGGCCACGGATGACATGCTCCTGCGCGTACGCATTCCAACTTCAGCTTCCTGGCTGTCAACTCGAGCTGACACCTTTCTAGCTTGAAAAGGACATAACCATCTGGCGCAATGGCTGGGAAGAAATCCTCAAATACCAGTACGACGCCTCCGAAGCCTTCGCCTCGATTTACAAACCCATCGAACCACCGCCCGAGCCCACCACGAACCGCAGCCCGCCAGTGCAAACACCCCACGAGCAAATGCAGAAATGCCTTGGTCTGCAGAAGATGTACAGCGAGCTGAAGGCGGACTTGAAGCAGGAGATTGGCATGATCGACAACAAAATCGTCAGACCAGTGAAGGAAGCCAAAGCAGCGACCAAGTCGCTTCAGAAAACCATGAAACATCGCGAGAATATGAAAGTGGATTTTGAGCGATTCCTCAGTAGGGCTGAACATGCGCGGAGGAAAGAAGTCAAGACGATGAAGGAGGAGGCTGCATTGGCGAAGCACGAAGCGGATCTTCAACAGGCGCAGATCGATTACCAGACTGCTGATGATCAGATCAAGCAGTACTTCCCGCCTGTTATTGAGGCTATTCAGGCACTGCTGCCGTTCCTTCTCACGGCTCAGATTGAAATCCAGACAACGCTGGTAGGGCAGCTATACACGAGCTTGGACGCATACTGCAGACAACAGGGTATTCCGAGCCCTGCGCCGAGTGATGGGGAAATAGTCTCCGTTTGGGACTCGGAATTTTCGAGCCTGCGGAAGGAGTGGGAGTCACATTCGGAATTGCTGAGGGGCGGGAAAGCCATTCATTTGGCTATGAACACGCCTACCGCGGAGCATACCTACACAGGACTAGGTATCAGGACCAAGTCTTCGGCGCTGGTCTCACGCGGCAAAGCTTCGATGCCTGGAAAGTCAGCACCACCAGTGCCTCGTCCCGCAGGTAGCAGCAATGGAACCAGTCCTCGACCGCAGCAGATCACATATCCAGGAGCTGAGCAGGAGGAGGAAGATGCGCCGCCAAAGCCACCACGGCCAGGGGCAATGCCATCACCCTCACCGAAGTTTGGTGCTTCACCACTCCCATCTCCCGGTATTCCTTCAAACAAGCCCCGCATGCCATCCACGACGGCGAACGGCTACCCGGCAGACCGCAAATCGCCAGGAGGTCTCATGCCAACGTACCCTTCGCAAGCTCCCCCGGCATATACGGAATCCCAGGCTTCTACTTCATCAGCACACTATGTCACCCCTCCAAACGCTCTTTCGCGCGTGTCTTCACACAACGATTACTTCTCTACCGTCAACACAGGCATGCCACATTTGAATCGACAAAAGTCATCGCAATCGATTGGTGCATCAGTGGCCAGTATTGCCGCTGCAAAGAAGAAGCCTCCGCCACCGGTGCCGGCCAAGAGGATTGGTTCGGCTCCAATGTTGTATGTCACAGCGTTGTATGACTTCGAAGGTCAGACTCCTGAGGATCTGCCGTTCAGAGAGGGCGATCGGATCAAGGTGATTAAGAAGACTGAGAGTACGGATGATTGGTGGGAGGGAGAGCTCAATGGGAGGAAGGGAAGCTTTCCTGCGAATTATGTGCATTTGTGAAAATGCTACAGGAGGGTGTGAATGGTTGTCCTGATCGAACGAGCTACAAGAAGGCAGGGGACTGTGGCATGAGTAGATTAACAAGGTCACTGAGTTCCTTACGCGCCTGAGCTGAGTGACGGGCTCAGATGAGAATTGTGCAGGCCAGGATTGAGGCATTGGCTCTTGTGTAATGGAGCTTCTGGGGTACTTGTCGTTGTCCATATCCCTCCGATGTGCATAGTGAGCATAGCATAGCAGAGGCATCCAAAGGGCATTGATATTATATGTAGATGGCTCGTGCTGCATTGAAGACATTCGGCTCGAGCTTCCGACGTCATCGTGGAGCGACCAGGATAGCTCGTCCTCACGAACGATCATCGACCTGCTTTTTGACAGGTCCACTTTGTACAACCACGCACGCCGATCTCCGCACTGCACATTCGAGAAAGCCATCTGCCCGAGCGCGAGAGCCATAATCCCGGGCAAGGCCATTCGAGGCGTGATCGATAGAAGCACGGCATAGAGCGCAGCTACGCGCGTCGGAGAGAGCTCTGTCAGCACGTGGGCGTGTCGGACCATCGCCAGATCCACCAGCACCAATTCGCTGCCTCATTCTACACCAACAGAAACAGCCATGGCGTCCACAAACGAGACTTCACCTCTCCTCCCCACCACCAGTTCCTCGTCCGCCTCCGCGCCGCGACCGACACCTACCAAACCAAAGCGCAATGTCACCTTCAACTCGACCATTTCCACAGCTTCTCCTCCCAATCGACAACGACCGACGCCTTTATCTTCTACTCCGCCCTCTCACGCCGTCAACAATGGCTTCGGGTCCTCCGCCATCGATTCCAAACAGAGCACGCTTTCCGCGCTGAACAGCAAACTGCGAAGACGAAACTCCTCCGGCGCTGCGATTCAAATGCCCAATCTCAACCCAGCCAGCAAAATTGGCCCTCAACGCACAACGCGAACAGCATCCAAACTCAAACTCCTTCCTAACCCAGACATTGGTGATGACGGGCCCGAAGAGGAGAGCGGACGAGACGTTTACTCCCAATTCACACGCATCAAAGATCCTACTGCGCGTCGAGATGCCGCGCGGCTGGGCAAGGAAGATCGGCAGCGGTTGCCTCGCGTTACGGCGTACTGTACAGCTTCGAGCTACCGGATTGAGGAGCTGATGCGGTTTCTGAAGGGGAGGACGAAGACGAAAGGCGCGAATCCGAAGTTGTTTGACGAGTGTTTGTACTCGCCATATTCGTACAAAAAAGATGATTTGAGGCCCAGATCACCTGGAGGGTTGAAGAGAGCGTCTAGTGGTGGCAGCGGCAATAACGAAGGTTCAGTGCTGTTCGAGGAAGAGGATCCAGAGGTGGTGCACAGTCAGCCCATCAGGAGATTTAGTGATTCGGCGATTGAGGTTGACGAGAACGCGAGGGAGAGGAGAGAGGACTTGATCGATTTGAACAATGGTGGTGCTGGTTCGTCTGGGAATGGCGAACCTACGATACCTACTGCGTCCTCAAGTACGGAGATCTCGAGAGCGGCGGACGACGGGGAACTCGGAACCGGAACCTCGATCGAACGCGACCCGGAGATGGATATCACGGTGCATATTCCCGAAGTTTTTCTTTTTGAGTACGGCGTCGTGGTGATATGGGGAATGTCCGTGAAAGAAGAACAGAGATTCTTGAAAGAGATCTCCAAGTTTGAACAGGAAAAGCTGGGAAAAGATGATGTACAGACGGAAGAATTCAACTTTTACTACACGAGGGAGTATCAGGCACGGATATACAATGATTTCATATCATTGCGTGAGAAGAGGAACTATATGACCAAGTTGGCCATCAGCCATGCTTTGGCGCAGTCGACAAAGGTATGCGTCTCTGCAGCATTGGAGCACGATTGCCATTGCGTGTAAGAGTGAAGCAGGACTTACTAACCCATCTCATTAGACCTCACTTTACGAAGACCTCCTCGATGCCACTATCAGCACGACTCAGACGATCCCCTCGCAAATCGCTTCCACAGGCCGGATCCAAATGACACGAAAAGAAATTAACATGCAAATCGGAGAGCTGTTTATCTTGCGGATCAATATCCATCTTCAAGGTTCTGTGCTCGATGCTCCGGAGCTCATGTGGGCGGAACCCCAGCTCGAACCCGTATATGTTGCCGTGAGAAGTTATTTGGAAATGGACCAGAGAGTGGCGTTGTTGCAAGAGCGGGTGGGTGTCATTGCGGATTTGTTGGCGGTCTTGAAGGATCAGTTGAGTCATACGCATGGTGAGTTCACGGTCCTATTACTGATATCAGGGTGTCGTGAGAGATGAGACTGACTTTGTGACTTTAGGTGAATATCTGGAGTGGATCGTGATCGTCCTCATCGCAGCCGAGATTCTGGTCGCGGCGATCAATATCGTGGTGGACCTGTATGCTGGTGTGGATTAGAGTCGAATATGGGTTTTCATTCGCGCTGCGGGAGATGTGCAAAGGGAAGTGCAGAGTTGAGCTTCAACGCAGTAAGATGCCATCTAAGGAGCATGTACTACATGGCGCGAGAAGTTTGTAAGAGCGGCGAGAAAGATGATGGACTTGTAATGGTGCTGTGTGAACTGTACGTTTGAGCATTGTGTGGACAAAAGAAGACGAGAAGACGAAGAGGACATTGTGCACACAGTTTATATATCCATGGCAGACAGGAGCTGTACAAAATGGGACTTCGCAAGGAGGGCACTTTTCGGAGACCGAGCATATTTTCCTCGAGTGTGCTGACATGTGACTATGCCCTTCGCTCATTTGAGGCCTGATCTTTTCATGGAACCTGGCCAGGGAATAAAGTAATGCCAAGCATGAAGCTCTGTCTGTTCTACTTAAGCTTTGGTCGTCTTGCTTGGACATCTCACATCTTGCATCTGCCAGGAACCACACCTCACGCTTCGAACTATCGCATGTATTGCTGAATGTTGCGTGAGCAGACACTGCGCAAGAGGTAGGTCGGTCCTGCACTAATCCCTCACAGCGAGCTGTCAGAACGTTCTTTCCTCAAGAAATTTCCTCCCTTCTTGTCTCATCGGTCTACATTTCACGACATCTGTCTTGATTTTTGCTCAAGTCTGCCACCGTAACACGTTCTGCCGTCATGGCGTCGGCGACAAACAACGAGTGGACTTCTGTGCCTTCTCGCAAGGGTAAGAAGTCACGACCTTCACAAGCTCAACCTGTCAGCCATGGGCACGCCAATGGTCCCCCACCTGTTTCCCGCGATCTCACTATGTCGGACATCAAACGCGATTTCGATACCAAAAGGAAGCAGTGGAAGAAGACAGAATGTAGGAAGCAACTACTCAAATTGGTTGATTGGGTTCTGGATGCCAGAGGTCCGGGAAGAATGGAGAAGTTCGTCTGTCTGGGGAGTGGCAGTCTGAGTCGGGATAACGTAGAATGTAGGAGAAGGAGTCTGTGGCAGGTTGTAGTGTTTTGGGATTTGGTGGAGTATGTGAGAGGGCAGCAAGAGAAGGGAGAAGACGTGGAAGGGGGAGACGGGGTGTGGGTCAGTGATCCAGCGTATACGGAACTGGATCGAGAATATTTCAAGACGCTGGGAATCAAGGTCGTGGATGTCGACAGAAATGCGAAGGGATTGGGCGAGGTGAGGGAATACCTTGGAGAAGGAACTCTGTTATTTGAGCCTTTCGTGGACATGAACGCGGACATGATGAGGGATTTGGTGGAGCGGGATGTTGGGATCTATGTTGGGAGCTCTGCGGGCGGGCTGCAGAAGAGAGGAGGTGAACTGGGTGAGTTGGCGAAGAAGTTTGGCTCGAACAGGACGATGAGAAGGTTCCCGGTTTTCGAAGTCGACCCGAATGTCTTTGATGGGATGGAATTATACTGGAAAGAGGAGTCTGAGGACTGAGAATGGAATCCAGGAGTACCAGCCTTTGACTACACGAGAGCAATCGATTGTTTCTCTACGACTCTACTTCATCAGATCCTCTGGCTTCAGCATACCAGTCTTGAGCATAGCAACAAGCGCTGCGCTCGGGTCCGAAAAGATCTCCGTTCTCGAGATCTTGATCTGCCCTCCTTCCTCCCGGAAAGCAAACTTGAACGCAGAAGGAATGGCGCCATCCCAAGTCTTTCCACTTGGATCCGCGATATTGTGGCCCTGGCCCGGAACTTGCAGGTTCCAGAAGAGGGTTGCAAGCCCTGTGAGCTTCCAGGTATCCGAGCCTGTCTGGACAGCTGTGGCATAAGTTGGGGAGTGCAAGTGTTCTTTGAAAGGAGCATAGAGTTCCTTGCTTATAGCCTCCCAAGATGCATCACCTCCGTTGCGGACTTCGCCAGTGGATTTGACGAGGACGTCTGGTTTAGCTATGGTCAGGATTGATCGATGGGCTTGCGTGGAGGCATTGAACTTACGGTCATCCGTCATCCAACTTGGAACGCTCAGCTGGGTTATCGAACAGCTTGCCATCTATTGCGGTCTTGGTGTAAGTCTCTAACCATCCCATGGCTGGGTGCTTCCGGCTGGTTTCGTTCCAGCTGCCGTTATGGACGTAGACTGGTTCGGTAGGGTAAGCTGTGGTTGCCATTCTGAGTACGATTCTGACGGCGGGCGATGCTGGCTCTTTGCTCAGGAAGGCTATAAGTCTCCGTTGACTGTTCCACGCGCGAGGTGGCTCTTCTTATGCTGCTGGAGACGCGCCTCAAACCCCGCGAGCTGGACGCCTCGAAAGTCCAGTGCCAGTGGGTCCTGTGGTCCCTGTGGTCACAATGCGTGAAGACGCCGGAGCTGCCGAGTAACATCAAGCCTGCAGAAGCCTTCCACGATGGTGTTCCAGTATCATTGGCACAACCTCACCGTGCGCACGCCACGTGTAAGCAGAAAGCTTGAGAGCTCTGGCATGTTGACATCCGGAACTTGGAAGCTTAGCGAGAGGCTTGAGGCTGAAGTCTCAGCTGATGTTTTGGGCCAATGGGTTGCCATGACTTCGCTTGAGGTTTTCACCGGTCAACGTGGTCAACTGCCAATCTTGTGCGATCATTTCGGGCACGTATACGTGACTGCAGTATATCGATGGACAAGATCGGTTCGTGCCCAGCCATATGGATCATGAGGGCCTGAGCAGACCCTGCGCCTCGCAGAAACGCCTCGTCCTCTCCACGCCATTTGATGCAAATCCCAAGGCGTGGCAGAAGAGTACACGGCTACTGGCCTGAACGAACTGGATGGTGCTCCCAGCAACGACGTCCTTCCCATCATTACATTACGGCTTGGAGTTATCGAACAATCGCTTGTCGCGCTGCCCACAAGGACCGCGGACAATGGCTGGAAAGATGCTCGGCGGCAGCTGAGCGTGCCAATGCAACCAATGCTGAGACAGATGCTCAATACTCAACCCAAATCACAAATTCGGCCCCAACAAAAAAGGCTTCCTTCTGCCACTTCTTGAAGGCATTTCTCTGGCGGTCGATGCAGCTCAACACGTATATCACTCCGATGCACCATAATTATCGATACTCTCACCTTCACAGGCATCTCTGGCTTGCTGCTCGCAATCCCACCTCGATGGACTCCATATGAATGTATTCGGCGAAGTGCTTACTGCACACTGCAATAGTGACATGAAAGCAAGGCGTCGGCTTCAAGATTTTTCTTACTCTTTGTCAATCCTGAATGAACATTGGGCGATTGGGACACGAGTTGACTCTTTGACTTTGCAACTAAGAGTGCAGCGAGCAGCACCTAATCGCGTTGCAACGTGCACTATGGCGAAGGCGTCCTATGCAGAATGAGCAAGACGTGAGCTTTTCCTGCGCTATGAACATGCAACAGAAAGGTCAAACCGGCGATTCCACGTATAGAACATTTACGAGCTTCTTGCTGTGATATCTACATTCGAACGAAGTTGGCCGAGGCCTCAATGCTTGCCCGATCGACCCCACTTAGAGCTTCGTTCATTCATATCCACAAGCACACCATATCCTGCAACACTCACTTTGCGTGTGCGACCAAAGATTGCCTAACATAGTAGCCTACAGAATATACACCAATCGCCAAGAACACTTTCACTGCAAAACGAACGATGGCCGAAGCATCAAGCGCTCACGATCACGATCACGCCCACCCACCTCCAGCTCCCGAAGATGCTTGGAAAACTTCAGGCGTCCGTGTAATTCCCTCCGACTCCCTCGAGCCAGTAGGAGGTCAACACATGACCCCAGGAATGGATCGCGCCGCCGCAATCAACTTCGCCAGAGTAGGAGCCCAAAAGCTCTGGGCTGGTACAGTCCACAGTAAGCCTCATCCTCTCCACATCTCTCCCACCAGTGAACCACAAACAAATCATACTAAACACTCACCCCCAAGTCCACGCAAACGCCAAAACCGGAGCCCACCACCACGGCCACCTGGAATCCGTAATCTACGTCCTCAAAGGCCGAGCTCGCATGCGATGGGGCGAGAAACTCGAATTCACAGCCGAAGCCGGACCGGGAGATTTCATTTATGTTCCACCTTATGTTCCTCATCAGGAAATTAATGCGAGTGCGGATGAGAAGTTGGAGTGTGTTTTGATGAGGAGTGATAGTGAGGCGATTGCGGTGAATTTACCGGATGTGGAGCCTGTGGAGAAGCCGGAGACTGTGAAGGTATGTCTTGAGTAAAAGGGGCAAGAGGGAAGGGAGAAGAGGGGGAATGGTGGTGTTGTATGTGCTGTGCTGACTCGTTTTCTGCAGTGGATTGATCCGACGCATCCAGAGTAGTGGAAAGTGGACTTAGCTATATCTTGGCGAGACGCGTCTGAAAGAGGTGCATTCACTTGATTCGAAAGTTGAGCATTTCAGGAAGGACAGAGATATGCCTTCCCCTGTGCAGCGCAAGTATTTATGCTTCTTCCCCGTGGCCATATCAGTCCGGAACCCAGACATCGCACAGCAGTTGAAAATTAGTGTCTGAACTTGATAAGTCTCTATTAACGCATAACTTTGAATCTGCGACTGTGACTGCTTGATGCCCCAAGTTCTGTAATAAAGTGAGAAAAAAATGCACAACCTCCATCAACGCCGTGCCAAATTCCTTCCGGGATATCATTTTGAGCGGCCGGCCCACACGTCCCGTGGCCCTATGCTTTCAGGTATGCACAAGAAGAGGTTAAAAAGAGAGTCATGATCGTCGTGGTTTTTCTTGTCGCTGGTCGATGGTCGGGGTTTTATAATAAATTGTACATGAACAAAGAGACCATCGCGGCGATTGATAGTGCTCCGGAGGGTATTGCTGAACTTGAGGCGCCTGCTGTGAGGGCTTGTGTTGTGAAGTATTTGTTGAAGCCGAGATTTGTGCTGTTGTAGCAGTTTTGTGGTGTGACTTCCTCGATGTCTTCGTCGTCGGGCTCGACGAGTGTTATGTCAACGCACTGTATGTAGAACTTTGTCAGCATTCCTGTGCGGCTGAAGCTATTCTCGAAACCCCAATACTCACGCTGTATAGTGCTGCGCCGTGTTGCGCAGTTTCTATCACTTGTAATGTGATGTTTTGGCCAACTGTGAGATTCAAGCTTGCCGGAAAGCGTACTTGTGGCAGACAAAATTGTCCGTTGTATTGGAAATTGTCGGGCCCTGTCACCTCGAAAGGCCCCACGACGGGATGCGACATGTTCGGCGGCGCCACTTGCCCTTGGGCGATTATCCCGATGTTGACGTAGAATAGCGCTTTTTTGTGTCCTGGAAACCATCCGGGCTGTACTGATAATGCTCCTCCTCCTACTGGCCATTTCGTTCGGTTCTGTGCTTGAGGAAGTCCACCGCCTGTCATCAATCCGTTAGCCATGGTCTGTCGCAAGGCGCGAGATTTTCTGCTTACATGGATACATCCACTGCATGCCGAAGGGAAACTCATATTCTCCCGTGCTGTTGTTGTAATCTATGCCGATCGTGTCGATGTTGTTCTGCGGTAGTTCGCCCGTGGTGTGTAGATTGTTCCCTCGCCATCCCGGATATGTGATCACAGTATGCGCAGCTGCAAGCTGGATAGTCGTAGCTGCCACTAACAGCGAACTGAAGCCATACATGTCTGGTATGCAAGTATGCGACCACTCTCTGAAGCTCTTTCAATGCGACTCCTCGCTTGTCCGTTTCCTGTGGAGCATGCAACCGGCGCGGGCTCGTCGACGATAGCTGCAGGCGGTAAATATGAAACAGGCAGAGAGGCAGGCAGGCGTACAGAGAGGTCAGCGCGTACAGATGACAAGAGAGTGAGACTAGGAGGGAAGGATGGCTGCGGAGTGTACTATGTTAAACCTACAGAGCGTGCGTAAGGCGGCCCAGGGCAGTCTGCGTGAGCCGGAAAGCTCGAATCGTGGAAGTGATAGGCGCCTGCAGTGAGAATGCCACATCCTGTGCATCCCACGAGCGTGGTGGCGACCCTTGGCACATATAGAAGGGCTGGTTGGTAGAGATGCGGCACAGCACATTTGCCGCTAGGATGGAAGCAGGTATTCGCTCGTGATCGAGAAGCCAGGCTTGTGATCCGACGAGCGACAGGGTGCAATTCCTGCACCATCCTGCACGCGAGTGGTGCCCTGCGCTACACGTCCGCTGCGTGTGGTGCAGTCGAGAGGGAGACTTTGCCGTTTCAGCTCGCTGTAAGCGCCCACATTTAAGCTTCCGCTGTGGAGCATGAGGTGGCTGGCCAATGAGCATCGCTTGCCGCTCTCTTCACCACATCGACTCCACCTACGAGCATTGACCGACTGCTGCTCAAATCTGGTAGACGTTCAGAACATCGATATAACGTGAAGAGTGGCCCGATGGACTGACTGCCGACATGAAGCATGTCTTTTCTCCGGCATCGAGCTACGGAGGTCTCAGATGCTTTCAACAGAATGTTGAGCAGGAATAGGATCAGCTGCATGTTTTAGACCTCTGCACAACAGTAAGCACAGCTCGCCTGAAAGACAACGACTGCGGCGAACGCGCAAGCTTCCTCGTTGCCGCTTTGCGGTCGTGCTTCTGCCATTATTGAAGCCATCAATGCATCTATTGAAGTCTGTCAATCGCGCGCCTGTTAGTATCTTGATAAGAGCACGCTATGCAATGTCCACGCTGCCAACAGAGCGCTTCCCAGATGTATAAATCGAGCGCTAAAGAGCTTGGCGAAGGATCCAGATCTTCAAATCCTGCAGGAAGCATGTAGCTGTCCGGCTAAAGCTATGTAAAAGAGATCTTCGTAAGTCATCAGACATCTACAGCAATCGACAGTCTTCAGGACAATTTCATCTACAATCTCATCATCAGTCTTCGATATGTGTCTCATCTCGGTGACACAGTGATAATTCCTATTCCTCAGTCCAGTGCTTGTCACCAATTCTGACGAAATCTTCCTCATTCGAAGTTCTCTTCTTGAAGATGCCAGAGAGGGCTGATCTCATCCGATTGCCAAACTTGTCTGCTTGGCGTGCGGGTTCTGCTGCATCATCACTCTTTGTTTGACGTGAGCTGTGCGATTTCGCCGTAGGTCTGGTCGACATTGTGCCCGGAAGTACCCTGATTCCAGAATGATCCTCATCTGAGTTCGCGTCCGTGTGATCCAGTGACTTGCCACGTGTGCTATCCGGCGGCGTCAATGGTGGCGCAGGTCCTCCGGGAATCCTGACAGGGTTCACGAGGCCAGACCGTGAGGCGGCCGTGCTCATCGTAGGCGCGAAGTCCAGCGGTGTCTCGTAAGGCGCTGGTTGGCCAGCACTCCAATGTTGGCCATGTGGCTCGACGGGCGATCCTTCACTGATCGAATGGTACTTGCGGGAGTGCTGCTTGGGACTTGGCTCCTTTTTGCTTGCATCACGTCCAGAGACACTGTTACTGCGTGCCGTCCAGAGTGCGGGCAAAGCATGACGTTCTGCTGCTGAGAGCTCGTTTGCAGTACCTGCGTCGGCGAATGGCACTTGCTTAGTAGCGGCTCGTTCCCAGGGTGGAGTGCCAGTGTCTTGTCTTCTTGGTTCTCCCGCGTGGTGGCTGGTGGCCTGTGGAGACGTCTCTCGTTCCATGGCTCGTGCCAAGTATGTGACTGCTCATGCAGAGCGGCCAACGTAGCATTCGATATTGCGGGAAGGGAGACCTGACCAGCAGGAAATGTGGCTTATAGTGACGGACGTCGAACTCGGAGTTCTCTGCGACAAAGTGAGACTGAAAGAACGCCCCAGCTGTTCCTTCAGCTAAGCGAACAAATGTAAGAATGCACAAGCACTCGGGACCCGCACACCTTGCAAAGGTGGCGAGCGAGTGGTAGTTCAGGTGTCATCGACTGGCCGGCTCGCCTGGCTGTATATGAACACCGCAATGCCTGGCATGATGCCTGTCCGGAGGAAGCGCGCCATGGCAAGCTATTTGCAGGTCGGGATCAGCTCTGCTGCACTCGCTAGTGCAGAGTGCCGGTATGGATGAGGTCAGGCTACTTCCAGCTGCATGCGAGCAATATACACCTTGGAGCCTAGGACCAGAGAGGCAGTGCTCTGCACAGCGGCAGGCTCGTTGCGCGCTCAAGTCGTCTGCGGCCTCTCACGATCGAAACAAGAACACGCGCGGATGTTGCAGTGCCGCCGTCGCACTCGTAGCACGCGACAAGTTGGGCGAGAACAGGCGCTTGGTGCAGCAGTTTGTGATCATGACAAGGAAAGGGGAGATCAAGCTCGCGTAGCCGCTGGAGTTGGAGCTGGAGTGAACTTGTGGATCCACGCTAGTTCTCGTGCACCAATCATGATGCATTGCCGAAATCCTTGCCGCTGAAGAGGAGATGCAAAAGCACGAAGTTCGCTCTCAAATATTCTACATACATGTGAAGGCATCTGCAGAAACTTGCTGATCTAGCAGCAGATGGTGCAAACTATCAGTTGAAAACTTCAATTGTCTTTGCACGCGCCGCTCGGGCGCAGCAGATCTGCGAAGTGCAGCACTTAACGAGAAAGTCGCGATGTCTTGGATCGAAACGAACTTCAGCAGTGTCTGGTCTACTGTCACCGTGGCTCTCAAGGTCTCATCACAGTGACCAGATTTCTGATCCGGATATTCTGGCCATTCTCAGCGCTGGTGAGCAAAAGCCTCGTGAAACCAAGGCCTGTCCCGATCAAGCATTGTCAAGCACTGCCCAGGAGCATGGCCCGACTAGGTCACAATGCCCTAATCAGAAGATTCTCCTCATTCCACGCTTCCCGAAATCGTCTTCGCCTCTCACTATCTTCCCCATTAACGTCTCATCGACTTCATCTAACGCTGTATTCGACAAAACTTCCCATAACTTCCTTTCGATCTCTGAGAATTGACAATGACACTTCGCAGCAAAAGCCCTTCGTAAACAGGACGTAAGAGTCGGCGGCCTTGGAGCCCCACAGCAAGGAAAAAAAGCTGTTTGAAGATAAGGCAGAGATGCCAGTTCGGTCTCCAAAGCTCTGTAATCACAGATGTCAGCACATTGACAATCAACATTGAAGCAGACAAGAGAGAGAATAAAAGGAGGGACACATACTTCCTCGCCCACGATTCCTTCCCTCCTTCTTTCTGCACTCCACATTCATCCAATGCTAAACCCTCAAACAAACTCCCATAAAACCCCACCCCAAACTTCAACCCCATCTCCTCACAAACCATCTCCGTCTCCCTCATCTCAATTAATTTCCTCCTCCTCTCTTCTTCCTCTTTCGTCCCACCTCCCGAACTCTCCCACCAGCGATTTCCTTCGATTTTCGGCAGTGTTTCCAACAACCCGCTTGCGCGTAATATGCGATTTTGCGCTAAAAGCGCCAGCAACATGCAAGCGAGACTTATTGCAGGGAGACCATTGAGGAGGGCGACTTTATGGCAGTAGGAACCTTGGTCTTGGAGGCGGTAGAGGAGGAGGAGACCGGTTTTGTGGAGGGTGGACCAGCGGGGGTTGAGGAGCCAGAGGGTGGACGTGGAGCAGGAGGGGCAGTGGTGGTGGGTGTGGGTTGTGGGATTGTTCTTGTTGGTGGTTCCGAGAGATGGGTATTTGTCGACGAGGTTTGAGAGGACCTGAAGGCGCGTATGGTATGTTGAGAGGTTGGCGAAGGTTGTGATTTGGTCCAGCGAAGGGAAGTGGTTGGATTGTTGTTTTTGGGGGATTTGATGATGAGTTATTGAGCGGGTTAGACTGTATTCGTGGGATTTGATGAGGTTGTGGAGAGTGCGAGAGGTCAGAATGAGGGAGAGGAGGGACTCTGGAGAGTAGGATATTTGAGGGATGATCTCGAGTAGCAGTTCGGGTGGAAGAGTCGCGAGGGAAGTTTGACTTGAGGAATTCGATGCGGTGATCGTCTTGGCTGACATCTTGGACGAGGGTGAAAAGTATGTGGAATGTCTGTGATTAGGCTTCTTTGTCAACATATACTATAGCAGTATGGCTCGTGACGAAAGAGCTCGGGCCATCAAGGTCCGGACTTTGATGGAGCGGTCTCCGATGACATGTATGGACACTTTGATGCTACTGTTGCGTGCTGCCTGTGCCATTCTTGGAACCTGCTGTTGTAAGGCTGCGTTTCTCTGCAGATACGGTCCGTGCGCTTGAAAGTTACTTGTGGATATGAGATGAGTTATGCTTGGCATGGCAGATTGTTCTAAGACATGAATGACCGACAGCACTTCTTACCAATACATCGTTTTTTCCGTGGTCCGATTTAGATCTCTGTCGCCGGGTATGCAGTAAAGTCATATATGTCGATCTGCTCTGTGAGCATAGTGAACTGAATCGATTGGCGAGCCAGTGCACACGCATTATGTACACTGCTGTTGATCAGCGAAGGTGAATTCTATGACTTCTTGATGAAGCCCACGCCTCCCACTATGTCGGAGAACTTCTGCTCCAGCTCCTGAAATAAGGTCAAGTCGCTGCCTCCAGAAAATGCAAGGACACCAGTGATCGCAGTAATGAGATCCGGACCAGCGCTACAGACTGCAGGACCCGCCGGGTATCCATTCAGTGCATTGACAACAACAGCTTGGATGTTGGGGCTGTATGGTTCACGGGCGTGTCCTGAAGCATCTGCCGGGCAGTATTGCTGGATGTACAAATTGATCACCCCGGGCTCGAAAACGAACGCTGTCGTGGTCGGCGTTGTGATTTCATCGAATTGCGAGGCGATGATCGTGTATTGAATTCCAGGCTGAGCAATTGGGCCAGTGTTCAATGCAATGACAGCTGGTCCCTCTGGTCCAAGGTCGTCGCATGCGCCACAGCCCACGGCTTCGAAGAAATCGCCAATAAGACGTCGCGAAGTTTCTCCGAAGATGTAGGCCGCCTCGTGAGGCTCTGAGAACGACTGATCCACGCGAGTCATACTCGCAATTGAGCTTCAACCAAGACGTATGCTCGTAGAAAACTCCAGCGCGAGGAGAGCGCGGCACTATTGCACGACGTGTGCTGTCACCACGCGGCACGGGGGAGGAAAGCAGGTGATTTCGTTGGGATGGCGCGGCAGCCACGATGTGCACAGTAGGTTCGCGTCCTGCACAGACCTTGGAATAGACAGCACTGACGGCTGCGACCTTGTGATTCGGCGGGTGGTGCAGTCAATGATGTACTGTACCCATGAGCAGCGTGAAGGCCTGGTGCAGAATTGGGCGGACGCTGGAGACATTTCGTGGATGTCCTCAGGGTCAAGATGCTCCTGCATATGCGATAGACTATCGACAACGCCGTGTACCAGCTGGTTGTTTATGCATCAGAAACAGCTCATCGGCGGCGCCTCCAGCGTGTGGCAGTGCCGAGGCCGGTCCCGCGCAAACTGTCGGCTTGGCTGGCCGTGGAGCACGGGGTGCAGACAAGCTCGCACGAACACTTGCTTGATGCGACGACATGCCGGTTTTGCGTGCAGCGGGCGCAGTGGTGGTGATGGCGGCGCTGGCGGAGCTCTCGGACTGGCGGAGAAGGGCACTTTTGCATTCCAGATGGGCGTGTCGGTGAAGCTGCTTGCGGGCGCGTGTTATTGGCAGCGAGCGCATAGAGTTTCGACCAGTACGCGCACGGGCAAGGCCGATCGTGGATCATCATCATGTTTTGCTGTGCTCGTCCATCCTGCTTGGAGGCAAGCCGCTGCGACACGACGACCGCCCAGCGCGCTGCCTTGTGCTCGTTGTCCACACTTCATCACCACCGCCAACACCGCTGCCATCACATTCATTACCCATTGTCCCCTCCCCCCTCCGCCTCCGCGTTTCTGTCGCGTCTCATTGTTTTGTTTCATTACCGGCCAGATTTCCGCTCGGGGGCGAGACCATGCCGTGTGCCAGCCGATGACCTCACCCGTATTGTAGTCCATCACTTGTCACACAGAGCATCGCGCCGCATCACCGTCCAGTTCGCGCTGAACATCAGCAGCGGACGTGCAGCAGCGCGTACCCTTCACCATGCCGAGCCTCTTTGGAAGCAGGCGGAGAGGCAGCAGCGCGTCGAGGGTACGTCCACAATCATGGCATAAGGCCAAGGATCAAGGCCGCTATAGCCAACCCATTGACTGACCCGTGTCCGCGTGCAGCAACCAGTCGATACCAACACCTCCTACGCCGCCAGCGTCGCCGCGCGTGCTGCCGCATCGGGCTCACGTCCATCTTCGAGCCATGGCCTGTCATCGGCTGCCGCCGCCGCAGCCTTGCGATCTCACACGTCGAGCCCGGAACCCATCGGCAGTATACAGACTAAGCGCATGGTCAGACGAGGTTCGCAGTCCTCTATTGGTACCTCGAGTATCCTGAGTGGGAGGGGCGGCACGGAGCGAGGAGGATTGCAACGACGAGGTAGCCAGAGCTCCATGACCGAGCGCACCTTTCGTTCTCCCTCTCCAGGCCGCAGCAACAGTATCACCAACGGTGCTGCCTCACCCCTCGATGCGCCGCCCGTCCCCGCGATACCTCAAAGCGTGCAGCAGCGCTCGCATCAGCGGTCTGCTAGCGTCGAACCGCCTTACCGAGTGTCCTCGCCCACGCCGAATGGCAAGGGAGCCCGGTCGAACAGCATGGACAGAAAGGCCATGTCGCCTCCACCTTCGCACCGCAGAGGCGCGCGTCTCTCCAACGTGAATGAAGAGCTGGAAGGCCCAGAAGCGCAACGGGGCGTCAATTTCTCTCGACCACGATCATCGCAACCGAATAGCCCATCCTCAAGTCCGACCACAGATAAAGCATATGTGCATGGCACGGGAGCGTGGTTCTCAGAGCCCGTGCCTGTGAAGAACAATCAATCTGGCAGCACGGGTGCTCCCAGTGCGGACGTGCTGTCAGCCAAAATGGCCAGAATACAAGGCGCTCAAGGGCAAAGTGTGAAGAAGGATAATCACAGCGCGTCTACACAGGGTGCGCAACTACGCGTGCAGACACAGCCGACGATCACCGGCACTGCAGTGACACCGTTTGTCCAGCCTCAGCAACAAATGGAGACCGTCATGGTTTTCGATGCCGCTTCACGAACATTCGTGCCCAAACTTCAACCCAGAGCAGCCGCTGCCCCTCCCTCGCCTGTATTGCCTCAAGCGCCTAAAGCAGCGCCGGGAACTTATGACCCTCACACACGTACTATTGTGCCAGCACCAGCACCAGCACCAGCGAGGACCACTCCTGCGGTCGACCTTGGGCCACCACCAAGGAATCCTGCGAGAATCACTCCTACCAGCAGTCCACGAGACTCCTATCTCGGAAGCAGCGTGAGCGGGGACAGCCCCAAGGGCGATAGGATTCTCCAAGCTTCACTAGGTGCGACCAAACCCAATGCAATCACAAACAGGCCGCAAAGAGCGTCCAGTCTGGATGTCCCGAGCCGTAATACGCCCAGCAATCGAGGTCGGCAGGTGTCTGCATCACCCAGTCCGCAGCGCAAGCCACACTTCTCTGCATCTCCTGTTTCGCAGGCTACGATACACGACCCGCCGCCGCGAGACATCTCGCCTGCCAAGTCTGCTCTGAAGAATTCGCCTTCATCCTCGGTGCGTGCGTACTCACCCGTGTCCCACTTTGCTGGACAGCCCAAACCGCCCCCAAGCGAAACATCCGATGCCACTTCGGTGTACTCGCAAGACGGCTTGTCTTCAGCCAAGAAGAAGAAATCCGCCCATGTTAGCTTTGATGAGCAGCCAAAGGAAATTGATGCTGCCGCCGCGGCCAGTCCGAAGATTCTGGCGCGGGAACGATCGCCAGTCTTGGATGACCTGGACGACGAGGATTTCTCTAAGCCAAGACCTGCGTTGCCTACCTTCGGCAGTGTACGCAGGCAGAGAGAAGTGGCCGAGAAGGTCACTGAAATGGCACCAGATCGCAATGAGCACAGCAACGACCACGCCATTGGAGGTATTCTTCGAAATGCCAACGGCTCGGCAAAACCTGAAGGCGAGCCAATGCCACCCGTCGTCGTGAGCAAGGAAACTGCCGCCAACGCCAGCGACACGGATAGTGACGTGGGAGACCGTGGAGACTATGCTGCCGCTAATGCTGCCACGGTCAGTCTACCAGAGCAGACAGCAGGGCAGACCGCCCAGATTCACGATGAGCCCAGCGAGAAGAGCGCAGTCGCTCCGATCGTTCGTGACTTTGCCTCGCCTGGCGCAACTGGGCAACATCTTCAACCCGCTGTGCCTGAGATCAACCTTATGCCCCCAACGCCTGGCGCCGAGGAAGACAAAACGTTGGACAACCGACATTCCGCTGAGATCATCGTGCCCGGGGGCTGGGGCGCCGACACAGAGCCTGAAGTCAAGCCAAACTCGGTAGCAGAAGCTGTTCCGAGTATCGCGCCAGTTCTCGTCCACACTCCAGAAGAGCATGGACCTATGTTGGCTCCGATCGATGAAGACACGGACACGGACGAAGCGGAATTCAGCGATGCTGCAGAAGAGCCTTCTGAAATTGAAGGTGGCTTTGCGTCACTCGATGCAATCGCAGTCAGCCCCATCAATGTGAAAGCTTCGCCATCAGCACAGACTGGCACAACATCTCCTCCAGATTCACCCATCGTTCAGAAGGTCGCGAAGAAGGAAGATGGCCGTGGCGCAGCAGAGGACGATACTCCCGGTGACTGGAACTCCACGACCGCATACTGGTCAAAATTGAGTAGACAGCAGCGCGAGCAGATTGAGCGAGACCACATGTCTTCCGACGATGAGGCGCGACCATCGCCCGCCGTTATGAAGAAAACGAGAAAGACTACAAACCCTGCGCCTGCCAGCTCTCCTCAAAGTGCACAGAAATCGTCTCCTGCGCACCGTGACGCGAGACCAGTGCAGCCTGCGCTGAAGAAGACTATGCGCGCACAACCGGAACCAGAATCAGCACCGGTAGAGAAGAGCCATTCCATGCGGCGATCAATGCGTGACGGAGGTCTCGCGGCAGGATCAATGCGCTCCAGACCCGCCTCAACGTCGCAGGCGCCAGAACCAAGGGCTGGGGGTTTCTCAAAGAAGACGATGCGCCCCCAGTCATCGGCATCCCTCTCAGCTTCCTCGGCTGGTGCAGCGATGGTCAGCAATCGTGCATCGCAGGACGCTGCTCAACCACAGCATATACGGCCTCCGTCCTCAGCTTCGACTACGACCGCTCCTGCAGTCAGCACCAGGTTGCAAAAGGAACTATCCCATGATTCTGACTCGGAGAGCAGTTTCAAGAAGAAGCGGAGATCCAACGCAGCGGCAGCAGGCGGCAGCATCAACATGAAGCGAAGCATGCGTGCTGCTCCAACTCCAGTTGAACAGCGTCCCTCATCTCCAGACCCGGTTCGCAGCAAAGGAAAGGGCTCACTCATCCGATCTCTGTCACCAAGCGGGTCCATCTTTGGTCGCAAGAAGGCTAACGACGTACGCGAATCGATTCGGAGTGGCTCTGTCGATGGCGGGAGCAGGATGACTATCATGCGCGCTACACAGCCGGCCAAAACGATGCGACAGACACCAGCTGCACCAGCTCCCAAGCAGAAAGCGTCATCGTCCAAGTTCAAGTCCCGCTTTGCAGACTCTGACGATTCTGACGATGAGCCTATAACGACCAGGCCGGCATTCCGGAGTCGCTTCAAGGATTCAGACGATGAAAGTGATGACGAGCTCACACCTGTGCGAGGCATTCCACGGCGGAAGGGACAAGACGACGGCGATTCCACAGATCTGGAGGATTCGGAGGACGAGAGCGGTCGGAAACCAGCTCCACGTGCACGTGAACGACAAAAGACGCCTCTTGTGCCTGATCCAGCAGATGTCGATAAAGCCATGGAGGCCGCACGAAAGAAACTCGGCATGACGAATGGATTCACGTCTGCCCCTTCGACTCCGCAAAAGCATGACGAGAAGCAAGGCTCGAGCCTGGCCCAGGGCAGCCTGCGAAACAGCCAGCCTCCTCAGTCGAGACCACAATCGCCAGACGGAGGGACGCCAAGAAAGAAGTCCTTCATGGGAAGCTTCTTGCGTCGGAACCGCGGCAGTCAACATAGTGTGATGACCGTTTCCGGGGTTCCAGGCTACGACAGTGCAGCATTCGCTCAAAGCTCATCAAACTCTCCGCCTCTGCCTCTGAAGCAGCTTTTCGAAAGGCCACAATCCCCAACGAGTCCGGGCAAACTCGTACGCCGCTCCTCAGCTCAGACGCGCCAGCAAATTGTCCGTGGCGACTCCAATTTCTCGACCGCTACAGCGCCGCCCACAACGAACAATAGTAGCTGGCCCCTCGCTGACGCGCCTCCTGTTCCTGCCATTCCTGCCGATGTGGCTCAGCTAAAGGGCACTGGCGACACGAGACCGGCGACGAGCGATGGGCATCCATCTGTTCGATTCAGCGAGGATGCTATTGCAGCAAAGGGAGATGGAGTGTACAGCTCTCGTACGGGCAAGAAGAAGAAGTTTGGTATGCTGAGAAGGGCTTTCAGGTTGAATGACTGAGAGCCTGAAAGGATGTAATGTGTAATTTCTTTTCAATCTGATGTTTGAGTTATGCGCGAGGCAAAAGTGAAGCTTACAGAGTGGAAAATGCGCGAAACAGTGCGCGATTCGATTGCATTTTGCAGAGCTGCAGAGGAAGTGCACGCGAGAAACGAGGTCCATGTCGCGGGAAAGTTTTCCCCGCGGACAGAAGTAAGAAGGCGAGATGAGAGCAGCTGCGTCTGTTTATCGAAGGAGGAAAAGAGATGAGCGCGACTACATTACAGCGACAACACACACGAAATCTTTTGTAATTATTCTTTGTTGAGAGATATATACCCCCAGGAAGTCGCTTTCTTTCTTCTACATGCCGATTGTTCTGCTTCTTCTTCTCTTTACACATTATGCTGTCGATGTCTATGCTGATCGAAGTACGACGAAGCTTTCCTGACAGTCAACAAGGTCTTCGAATACCATCGTCGCCCGAGCACGCCGTACCGTCGTGGTCTCATTCCGCTCTGCTCTGTACAAATTCTGTCACCGCTCACCTTACAACACAAATGCCAAAGCCCCAAACCCAGCAGCCGCTGCCCCAGCAAGTACAACCCCCTGCTTCCTCGCCGCGCTAGATTCACTCGTCTGACTCCCCTCCGCACTCTCCGTCGCAGACGCCTCATCTCCATCCCCATCACTCCCAGAACTCGCCAACGCCGGCCCCTCCAAATCCCCATCCTCCCCCTCCCCCTCACTAACCCCCGGACACTCCAAAATACAATCCTTCATCGTCTCAAACGCTTCCTGTTCCTTCAAATCCTCCGGATAAGAATCCATGGCGCATTTTCGCGCGCATTCGTAGGCTGTACAAGGGAGTTGATCGGGGGACCAGAATGGGCTACCGGCGAGGGAGTCTTCGTAGTCGGAGTAGGAGCCTGTGGCGTTTTGGAGGGTGAATCGGTTGGAGAATGTGGCGCCTTGGGAGGTTGTGAGGTCTGCTATTGCGATGCTGTAGTAGGATGCGCTGGGACCGACGGTGGCGGGGATGGAGAGGTTTGTTAGGGGGGAGGTTAGGGTGGTGGAGTTTAGGAGGTAGCCTGGAGATGTGTTAGTTTTGGTGTGTGGAGAGTGGGGAGTTTGGGATGGAGGCTTACAAGTTGGGCCGTTGACGCCTGCGAGGGCGGCGGCGAGGTAGACGCGGTAGGTGTTGTCGTTTGCGCCCTTGAAGGTGATGTCGAAGGGTTCGCCGGCGGTGATATTCGCTGGTGTCACGATGCCGTCGAGAGCTGAGGCTCCGAGAACGAGAGTGGCGAGCGCTGCGGCGCGTGTGGTGAAGGATGGCATCTTGATTACTCTCTGATTCTTACTAGGATATCTTGAGGTGCGTCTGGTAGTTCTTGTGCGGATGTAAAGTTATCTGTCGCAGGAAAAACGAATGACTGAAGTGAGAAAGTTTGCCACTGTTGAATGTGCAGGAAAAGAAGAAATGGAAAAAGCTCAGAACTTGCAATCGCGCGCCGTCAAGGTACTAGTAAACGATTTTGCATATCAAAAATAACCCAACAGCCAATGCGGCGCAAAGTGACAGGTTCGACTAAAATCTGCAGGACTCCAGGCACTGTGCCTTAGTTTCTTGCTCAAAATAGGCGAAGAGACTTCTTTTGGCCATTCGCCAGATCCACCATATGCAGAGACCCGCTCTTGATGGACTGGCATCATCAAAAATTAATGAAGTGGGCGCTTGAAGACTGGGGACGGTTTTCTCTCCATGTTTCCATATCGAGATGACTAGGGCGAGGGCTCTATGAAGCAACGGGACGCCATCGCATGTCTTGCAGTACTTTGAATCAGTGGGCGCTTGATCGCTCGATGGGTCCGATGAACGCGCTCGTGTTCTTGATATCGCGTGTTGGCGCCGTTGCAGAGGAAGTGCCGCTCGCTTCGGCTTGCCGACATTGAGGCACGGTCCCCGGCATGCATTGCCAAGATCTGGTCGCTGCCACGGCTGCATCGCGGAGTTCACCCCGTCGTCGTGACACCACCGTCGAATCGAACTGCATCCGAATATTTCATGCACAAGGCAGGCCTTTTATGAACGTGCAGTGTTGCGATGTGGCGACGATGCTATGCCGCTCGTCACTTCCCATCTGCTGCCACCAAGCGCTCCCCGGGCTCCAGGATGATTTCAGATTTCACGGGTGACTCTGGGCGAAAATACTCCAACTTCGAGTTACTCCGTCGCCATCCTCATGACAGGAAATGTGACATCTTCAAAGCCCAGTGCGATCTCCTACGCCGCTACACATGATGAGACTCTAAGACTGGTCTGGCAGATCTGCAGACAGTGACAAAGGATTAGTATGCAAGCAGGTGCCAAAGCGTCACTTTGATCTTGCTCGGCGCATCGCCAATGACTTGCCATCTTCTCAGCACCTTCGAATGCACGTAGACTGCAATAGTGAACAATGCATTCTGGTGTTCGATTACTTCCAAGACACTTTGCTCAGTCTTCTGAAGAATAACCCAAGTCTTTCACCAGATGAGAGGCCGAAGATCATGAGAAGCGTGGGCGAAGCAGTCAACCAACTTCACTCTAGAGACTGGGTCCACTCTGGTTGGTCTCGCTCTGAATACAGTTGGCGCCAGCATAACGAAGCAGCTGTTAAGACTGATCGATGTTGATAGATATCAAGCCGGACAATCTTCGTCAACTGGACAAGCGATCAAGAAGGCAATAAAGTGATCACGAAAACCGTCCTTGGTGACTTCGACATTGCGTGTAAGCTCAAAGACGGCGAGACTCGCATAACACCACACGCTGTGGGCAACGTCATGTGGCGGAGCCCAGAAGCGCAAGCATGCATGGCAAACAAGGCGACCGACATTTACTCGCTGGGCCTAGTAGTAAGTGGCAAGACCACGCGCAGGATACGCCTGATTCTAACTACCTTTCTCAGTACATTCACGCGCTGGGAGGCGGAGAACTACTTGTAGTGGAGGACTGGAAAGAACTAATAGAAGCAGGATACCCGCCGGAGCAAGACATTGTTACGAAACATTTCTGTTACTTTGGGCCGGTCCCAGATACCCTGTATGAACAGATACGAGATGAACACTGGAGAAAGGCGTTCCAATCAGCTGCCGAGGCCGCTGACGCGGAGGTCAAGGAGCGACCAGAGATGAGAATGGAGTACTGGACTCAGGAACTTGGCGCAAGCACTTTTGACCTGCTGTCACAATTGACGAACCTCGATCCCAGAGCTCGACCGAACATTACAGACGTTCTTGCTCATCCATATTGGAAAGACAGTCTTCCAGAACATTAGGCCTGAGCCGGCGGCTATCTGGCGTTGTAGTCATCACATTTGCAATTCGATGAATCGATTCGCGGGTCTCAAAATCATTTGACGAGATGTTACTCCAAACACTGTACGTCAGGTACGTCAACCCGGCATATCGTCAGCTTCTGAATTATTGCAATAAGAACTCCATGATGGTGACTGCAATTTTCGCATCGTCCAATACGCCATATGGGTTCATGGGCCGCCTCCCGTGCTGAGATCATGCAGCAATCCAGCAACAATGGTGTTGGTTCGATCTTCAAGTCTCAGTACCGGTTCGGCCAGGACCTCCCGAATCACAGAAGCTGACCAAGGACAGTTTCATAGTACGATGAACCACTAAGAAGACTATCAATGCTGATAGAAAGATTTGTATCGAGCGAAGATTGAAGTTTACCTTTCAGGCACGCTCAGAATACGCAACTATGCTCTTCCATTCCTCCTCGCGTTGTCGCAAAGTCCGATGATATCGAAGACTCTACTTGGACTTCAGCTAGAATGAACACGTGAAGAACGTGGACCGCGGTAAAGACGGATCACGCACGGCATCGACGGCCGGCACGGTGAATCTGAACTCTGTCTTTGCTTCCATTCATCCCGGATCCCGGTATCCTGAGCACCCGGCCAGGCAGCTGCCGACTTTCCATGAACACGAAGCTGCTCAAGATGCGCGAAGTCCAGAACGGCAGTCAGAACGGCAATTGCACAGCGTTGAGCCGACAGCTCAATATTCTGGGAATGTCCACAGTGATGGAGTGAGGAAGGCTCGTCTCCGTGATACCAGCAACTGACTAAGGCGTGATGACAGCTTCGAACATGAATTCACCACGATATAGGTCTGCGAGACCGATGTTCTGTCCAGGAATAAGACGGGAGAATAACACCACTATGGAGGGCACTACAGGATAAGAATGTCCTGTCCTATGTGGCTCTCGGCTCATGCGAGTGTTGCGACTGTCACCATCTTTCAATCATTATCTTCGATCATTTGTGTGCCAGCAGAAAATACAAGACTGGCCCGATCACCGTCATAAGTAGACAAGCACCCCGTGGCCCTCAGATGAAAGCTCTGCTTATCCCTACGGACCATCTCGACTCGGTCAATTGTGCTGAGGTTCCAACGCTGAAGATCATGATAGAAGGATTCAATAGGTGCCTCCATGGGATCGGGCTGCGCATCTCCTGTGTTGATCATAACTCTCATGGCGAATCGAATCAGCCATTCGAGAACCGAGTTTGGATCTTCAAGACCTTGCTTTCTTCGAATGGCGGGTGGCAGGAATGTCAGAACCATGGCTCGGCCGAGGAAATGGAGTGGTCTGAGAATCTGGAGTGAGTACAGGTGAAAGCAATACAATCAGATCATGGGAAGTCACTCACCGAGGAAACCACAATTCGCAAAACTGATGTGTGAAAGCCTCAGAAGTCTCAAGGCCTTTGATCCGGTCCTCATCTGTTCTTTGCTCATCCCAATCGAATTCTTGAAACCAAACGACGAAGTCTTCTATCTCTTGCCATGATCGCGGGTAGTTGATACCAAACGGAATCGAACCATTCGATGGCTCCGATCGAAAATGTCCTGTCAACCGCTCGCCCCATGCCGGCCATGCGTCTTTGACAACCTGATCAACCGGATGCTTTGCGCCGACTGTCCTACGGATGAACGACTCATACCACGACAGTAATATGATAGCTGCTTGTGCTTCCCACGCGAAGCTAAATGCTCCAGGAACTCGTTTCCACACAGCAGCATGTGTCTTATTGATCGTCTCGATGTGAACTTTGGTTTCGTCTGAAGAACTGCCGTTCTTGACCCAGTGCAGATTGAACAGCTGAGTTTCATAGTATCGCTAGTGACCTCGAGTGATGACCTTCCCGCCATGGATGGCGGCTGCGTCTGTCGGCGTTGAAGTGAGCCAGACGAAGACTGCGGTGTAGCCTAAGGCTGTGGCGAAGTCTGTACTGCGGTAGAATGTATGGGTACGGATGATCTGGTCGTATTCGGTTTCTGGATCGAGCTGTGTGGTTGTCTTAGGTTGTAATGTTTACGGCAGTGTCGTGGGTCAAAAGCCATTACTGACCTTGTTCAAGTATGAATTTATCCATTTTCCTTTGCGTTCGGATTTGGGTGGAAGTGGTGGCAAAGTCCTTTTGGCTTCGGGAGGAGGACGGGGTAGTCTGGGATTGTCTTTGACTTGGTTCATCGTGTCAGTGCCGGGAGGGAGACCATTGGTAAATTTCAGGCGGTATCGATTGGCATTGTTTTGAGTTGTTGAATGTGCTTCCATTTCTAATGATGACGAGGTTGATTATTTCAGGTCTTCTCGTACTACCTCGACGCATGATACTCGAATCGTTGTATGAAATGACCGCCAATCCCGCATCTCATATATACTTGCCTTTTTCCGGGGTTAGATCGGCTTCTCGCCAGGAGTACAGGTGCAGGTGATCTCCGCGAGGTCCTACCACAGACAGTACTAAGTTCGTGACTTACTGGGTTCCCCTCGCATATGGGGTCCCCGCATCTCCCCAGCTTTTGGGCGACGACGGCTCTTGGGATCGGGATGACAATAATAGTAATGGTCTGCTGAAGACCTCCAATGGCCCAGCTTGAAGATCCAGCTCGGTGGGTCCATCGTGCTTGCGTCTTGAGATCGTTCCAGCAAGAACGAACGGCGGGCCGCTACCGACGTCGACTAAGACATCTCTCAGGCACAATCATACACGTTCAAGAAAATAGGACGCGTCGAAACGGCGAAAATGGAGACGCATTTGGAGCGTAGTCCTCGAATGCCATGCTACTCGACCAATCCTCCTCGCCTTGTCCCGAGGTCCGATGACGTTGAAGTTTACTTCGACCTCACCTCCATCGAACAGCCTATTCTTTACTCCGCATACAAGCTTCTGAGATTGCATGAGAATCTCAATGGAAGGAAGCCCTCAGCAGAGTACAAGCACGCGTAGACTACAAGCAATCATGTCTCAAACAAGCAACCTTAACCCACTACCATTGCCTGAAGGCATTAGCGAGGATTACATTGATTGCACCTCATCATGCGGATTGAACTTCCACATACTGAAAGCCGGTGATCCGAGCAAACCGCTCGTCCTCTTCTGCCATGGATATCCAGAACTCGCCTTCTCATGGCGCAAGATTCTTCCCGTCGTAGCAAAAGCTGGCTACTACTGCATAGCAATGGACCAACGAGGCTACGGGCGAACCACAGGCTGGGAAAACAAACCCTACCACGAAGTCGATCTGACCCAATACACCATGACAAACCTCGTCCGCGACCTCATCTGCCTAGTCTACAAACTAGGCTTCAAAACAGTCCACTGCATCATCGGCCACGATTTCGGCGCAGTATCCTCCGCAATGGCAGCCCTTGTCCGTCCAGACATCTTCCTTTCCACAATCCAAATGAGCCATCCCTACCACCCACCTCCCAGCCCTCAATTCGGTTCCCAACCCAAGAAACAATCTTTAGACATCCAAGCCGAACTCGCAAAACTCTCTCCTCCACGAAAACACTACAAATGGTACAATTCCTCCTCCGAAGCAGCTTCCCACTGGGATAACCCTCCACAAGGCCTAACCCAATACCTCCGAGGCTACTTCCATCTCAAATCCGCCGATTGGGATAAAAACTCCCCTCATCCCCTCAAAGAATGGAGCGCAAAAGAAATCTCCATCATGCCAGAATACTACATCATGCGCAAAGAACATACATTTCCCCAAAGCATCGAAAAAAACATGCAAGGCGAAGATTACACCAAAACAGAATCTTGGCTTTCGAAACAAGATTTGGAAGTTTATGTGCAAGAATGGTCGAGGACGGGGTTTCAGGGTGCGTTGAATTGGTATCGTGCGCAAACGGCGTCGACGCCGCAGAGTAAGAAGGATATGTTGTTGTATGCTGGAGCGAGGATTATGGTGCCTTGTGGATTTATTAGTGGGAAACAGGATTGGGGGAATTATCAACAGCCTGGGGCGTTTGAGGGGTATGAGGATGAGAAGTGTGTGGCGAAAGGGTGTTTTAAGGGTACGAGTTTGATTGATCATGCGGGGCATTGGGTGCAGCAGGAGCAGGCGGGGAAGGTGGCGGAGGAGATTTTGAGGTTTTTGGGGAAGTTGTAGGAAAAAAGGGTTTCTTCTATGCAATATGCGGGATATGGACACATGCGCGTCGTTACATCGTTGCGAGAGACTGGGCGCATTATTTATTCCCAGATGTGCCTGATCTTTTGCCAGCCTTTGAACTCTTTCCCGGGCGTTTCTTCTGCGATAATTTCCTCAAGACCAGTTTGAAGGTCGACTTGCTCCGGGGGATGTGCCCATAGCTCGTGGCGAGCGTAGATGCGGTGACCGAAGTAGATGACAAGGAAGAGCGGAATACTGTGATTGGTCAGTCCAAAAGTTTCCACAACAAATATTCTGTATAGCTCACCCAACATAGGCAGTCATGAAACTGCTGACAGACCATAGTTCCGGCCAGAAAACGTTGAATCCGTTGATCAGACACAGGAAGACGAATGCGACAATTGCGACATAGCTTCCCCAAGGCTGAAAGTATGAGTGGTATGGCAGATCCGCATACGTGATGCCCTGAGCCTTGCAAGCTTTGTTGAATCGCAGATAGACGATACCGCAGCAAATCCAGCTGATGAAGCCCGAAGTATTGGTCAAATTGACGAACCAGTTGAACACCACAGCACTATCACTTGCAACGTTCAAATATGCAAGTCCGCAGAACAGTGAGGATGCGATGACGGCCATGTATGGAACACCGTTCTTGGTGCAAGCCTTGAAGATCCGAGGTGCGTTCCCGCTCAAAGCCAGGGCATAGAGGGAACGACTTGAAAGGAACATGAATGAGTTTCCTGAGGACCATGCCGAGAGAATGATACCACCGTTGATGACGGAGTCGAGGGCGGGGATGCCAGCGTTCTTGATGGCGACCACGAATGGGGAGGATCCAGCTCCGGCTCCTCCGCTTGTGAGGCGCGGGTCGTCGGACGGACAGATGACGCCAATAGCCAGCACAGATCCAACGTAGAAGATGATGAGACGCCAAATATATCGCCGTGCTGCTGTGGGAAGATTTCGTCGTGGGCTCTCCATTTCACCTGATAGATCGAATCAGCAGCGTTTCCATACGTAGAGTTTGTGCTGTCAAATTACCTCCAGTGGCTACGAGAAGTTCTGGTGCGAAGGCAAACGGAAAAGCCGATAGTACAATAGTCGAAAGCAGTGCTAGGAAACGCCCAGTGTCCCTGTCACCTACGAGGTACTCGTTCACAGCTCCAGGATTCTGTTCCCAAGGTCAGCTTGCATGTTTTGGGACAGCGCTCCAGCTTCACCAACCTGCCAATACCGAAATCCGAGTCTGTCTTTATCGGGTCCACCGCCAAAGAACAGAACGACCGACATCATCAGCAGTCCAATCATCATGATGACTTTTGTTCCCGCGAACCAAAACTCAGTCTCGCCATAGAACTTGACGGGCAACGCATTTAGTCCCACGATGACCACAATCATGATGCTGATCCACACGGCGATGTGCACGGGCGCGTTCCAGTATTCGATCACAAGCCCTGCAGCTGTGATCTCGTACGGGACGAGAATGCCGAGAGAATAGAAGTAGAGCCAGCCCATGGCAAATCCCAAGCTTCGGCTCACGTATCGCCATCCGAACATGTTCATCGAGCAGCCTTTTGTGGGACACCAAGCTGCTACCTCTGCGACTCCAGATACGATACACCAGACCAGAAAGGACATAAGGCAATATGCCAGGAGGATGAAAGCTGGACCACCACGCGCAAGAGTCTGGCCTGAGCCGACAAACAGACCGGTACCGCTGTGACATGTCAACCATTGTGCCGTTCTTCATACATTACGCCGGACGTACATTGTGCCTCCAAGGGCAATCATTTGCGCATGTCTGCTCTTCAGACCTCTGTGGGTTGAATCGTAGCGCTCATCGTAGACCTCGCCCGCGAGCACATCTTGATTGACGACTGAGCTCTGTCGTCCTTTCGTATCATCATGCTGGCCTGAAAGACTGTGGTCCGGAGAGGTATTGCTGAAGGCGTGCAAGCCTTTCTCAGCCTCGTACTCCGCCATGACGCCGCCTTGTTCCTTATACAGAAAAGGAATGCCGCGAAAACACAACAATGAGTAAAACTTTATTTACTCAGCACAACGAAGGGGCAAATCTGGCAACTATGTATCAGCTGTTCATCTGCTCAGCAATCGCTTACACCTGAGACATCCGCAGGCCCAGCTGCTTCTCTACGGCTTCTCGACGGGGCCAAGAAACTGGGTCAGGTCTTGGGAAACGTCCTGAGAGGGCTTAGGGCCCGGATGTTACAATGTTCTCGACATGCCTTTGGCAGCAGAAGTCAAGGGCAGCTGGGCGCTGGTTGGAGAGAGCTTGAATTGCCTTATCGCAGCCAAGGCTCTAAGGTGGTAGGACAGGCGTAGCCTGCACGACCAGGGTTGCCGCGTGGGCGTGGAGATAGACATAGCGGAGACCAAGATGGGCTTGCATCTGGGTGAAATGAGGCTCTAGAATCGACCGGTCGGACTGGACATGATGGCGGTTGAACGTTGCAACGTGGCCCGGTACGAAAGTGGTTGATGGAATCTGGAGCGGCGATGGAACTGTCGTCTGGTGGAGATGATCTGAGCTCTCTTGGCACTCAGCATCACCTGTCCTCCTCCCCCTCCCTCAGGCCTGTTCCCTTGGAGAACATCGTTGCGGCTGCAGCTCAACACCAATGTTCGCGTGAACACCCAGAGCCCTACCGCAGGCTAGCTCACTCGCAGCGTGGGACTGCCTATCTGAGACCAGCTCCGGTGAACACCTGGGACACCAACCTGCAGCATGATAAGCAAGCCGAAAAGGTGCCGTGTCGCGTCTGACAGATGTCACACAGGTGTGGTCGGCGGCGGTGAGATCAATGACATTGAACATCACAGCTGCCGTGGACGTACGGAAGCAGACCAGCACGGCAGAGATGGAATTGAAGCTACTTGCCATCTAACCGCTTTATTAGGTCATCGCGGCTGCATAGAGAGCCTAGGTCGGCTGTAGAAGGCGGGGCCAGCAAGCTAGTAGGTCGCGATCACCATATTTCCACACTGAGTTCTCTCTCGAAGGCGAGAGACACTTCAGCTTCATACTTACAATAGCATACTCCAAAACACGAATACCAGCAGCAACAATGGCCCAATCCGCACGACAAATGATGGGCGCGCCGCCCTCGACCGCATCGCCGAGCGATTCGACCTTGGTCATCATCGATGCGCAGAACGAATATGCAGAGGGAGCACTGAAGGTCACAGACGCACCAGGCACACGTAAAGTCATCGCAGGCCTGTTGGAGAAATACAGAGCTGCAGGCGGACAAATCGTACACGTAGTACACAACGTGCCAGAAGGAACTCCAATCTTCACACCAGGCACGAATCTGGCGAAGGAGTTTGAGGAATTGACGCCAAAGGATGGCGAGAAAGTGATTGAGAAAATTCATCCGAGCTCTTTTGCGGATACTACACTTCATGATTATCTCAGAGGTGCTGGGGCTAAGAAGGTGGTTCTTACGGGATATATGGTAGGTTGACAGTAGCCACATCTCAAAGTGTTCTCCGCTGACATGTTCCAGGCTCATGTCTGCGTCTCGACTACGGCGCGTGACGCCGCTCGCTTGGGCTATGATGTCCTTGTCGTAGAGGACGGAGTTGGCGACCGCGATATTCCCGGCGCATCAGGTGCCGAGGTGACCAAGATGGTCATGCACGAATTGGCAGACTTCTTCGCTACCATTGTTCAGAGCAAGGACATTAAGTAGACAGTGCAAGCAATTGCCGCGATATCAGCAAATGTCAAGTTAATCGCAACAAGAAATCAGAGTGCGCACATTTTCGGAAGGCTGAGTACTCTGAAAGGTTGGAAGAATCCTACAAAGGGTCTGCGTGCTTACAAAGCTCTACTGATACAGCAGATCTAAGCGATTTGGATACTCTACTTCGATCGAGGGCACGAATGTCCTCCCAATGATAACTGCTCAGAGCTGGACCTAGCTCGACAGCTGCAAGGAATTTGGACACCGAGTGGCGCGAATAAGGATACTGGACATCATGTTACGCCGACTCCGGTGGGGAGTATTGAGCCTTTGATTGATTCGGCAGACGTGGTTGTGGAGAAGTTGAGGGAGGCGGAGATGGTTTGTTGTGTTTGAATTGTGGTTGGAATGTGTTCAACAGCGCGTTTCGCTTCGTGGAGTTCTCAGTGCATGAGTAGCAATTCAGCAAGGTACCTATGAAGCCCTCTTCACGTCAAGCGGCCCAAGCCTTCTCTCCCAATCAACTCTCATCGCCTCCATCTCCTTCCACACCTGCCGTCCAATCTCTTCGAACTCTTCTCTGCTTTCTTTTGTCGTCTCCCTTCGCTTCGCATACAGCCCAGTCGTAGCGCTACCTGGAGGCACGACTCCAGGTTTCCCGCAATATCCCCAACCCTCTACTTCCGTACGCGCAACCCTCTCCTCACCTCTGTTGTTTGCTGCAGAACCCCATTTACCTTTCCCTTCACGCTCCTCAAGCTCAATGATCTGAGGAGATAAGACTGCGAAAACCATGCTGACTGCTCCTTTGTAAGGACCGATAGCGTGCCATGGCGATCCAAGAATTCGTGCGAGGTAGAATGCCAAGGTCATGAAGATACTCAAAAACCAGTGAAGTCCGGAAATCGATGTGGCGACCACACCTGGGTGAGTGACGAGCATCCTCGGTTGCCGGTTTTCTGCTCCCTGCGATGTTCCAGAGAAGAAGTTCTTCGTGTATGGCCTCGTCGAAGGCAACTCCGCCGTAAGCGCCAAAAACTCCGTCAACCTCTTCGAAGACTCATACGCCACCAAAGACTTCAATCCCTGAATATCCTCCACCTGAAAAGCATCATGCACAGCACCCGTACTCGAAATCCACACAACCCTCGAACTCCGATCCAGAAGCGGCGAAATCCAGTGCGTAAGCATATAATGCCCAAAAACATTCGCCGTAAAAACTTCCCCCAAAACCGGCTCCTCTTCCTCCTCCTCACCTCCTGCATCCAACCCCTCAGCTTCTTTCTGTTTCTGCACCTGCCTCCCAGCCCTCTTCCCCACATCACAAACCATATAATCCGGAAACGTAACAGCCTGCCCCAACTGCGTCAAAACACTCCAAATCGCCCCAAACCAATTAATCCCCTTCCACCCCGCAACCCCCGCATTCCAAACCACAGCATCAAATTTCTCGCCTCTACTCAACAACTCCTCCGCCAAAATCTTCACACTCCCCAATTTCAATAAATCGACTTGAACACCTTCGATTCTGATCCTCGATTCCAGAATAATAGAAATCCCGAGTGTCTTTCCATTGGCTTCGCGGAGTGTGTTTTGCAGATGAGATTTTAAACGTTGAGAAGTTTCTGTGGATTTTTTGGAAGAGCGGGTTGAGAAGAGGAGATGGAGAGTTTGGGTTTGGGGTCTTGTGTAGAGGAATTCGTCCATGAGGCGGCAGCAGAGGGCGAAGCCGAGACCGCTATTTAAGAAGAGTGGTATGTTAGTAGTGATGATTGGAAGGATTCAAAAGCTCTCGGGTTAAGGCCAATGGGTACTTGCTGTCTTTTGGGGTTTTGCTGTAACGTACCTATTTGCGCCTGTCACTAGGACGCGGAAGGTGTTGGGCGAATTGCCATTTGCGTTCCCGTTCGCTGGGTCCATGATTTGTGGTTCCGTTTGTTTCGTGTGGCAAATCGATGAAGGAAAGAAGATCAGGAGATGGACTTCAAGGTTCCAGAATGTTGCCAAGAGTCGTGCTTGTCGTTGTGTCGTTGCTGATCTGCAATTGCCCTTTTCGTCGGTCGGACGACGCCGCTGCTTGCGTGTATACAGTTGAGCTGACCATGTCGGTAAACTCGGCTAACACCCCCGATTAGGAAATAGTGGGTCACATGGTCCGCCGAGACCTCCGAACGGACAGCTGAGCTACTATATAGTCGGGTAGAAAGCTAGAGCCTTAGTATTATATATCTAATAAAATATAAACGCGCTCTAGTAGGCGACGACGACGATAGCGGGAGGCCTCGAGGCCTCCTAATATATAATAATACCTCTCGACCGATACTACGACGCTATAAGTAGAGAAGGGAGCCTAGAAGAAGGAAGTTACGACTCTAACTTCTAGGCGGCCTAAATCTGCTTATAACTATCTCTCTCTAGCTAATAAGGCTAGAAAATAACTACTAATACTTATACTCTAAAACTAATAATCTAAAAGAACCTAAAAAT